CTACGGGCCACCCTGCTCCACCCTCCCCATCACTGACCCCCACGATGGGGATCGGGCACCGCCCTCCCTGCCATTCACAGCACCACCTTTAGGAGAGTGGCTCCTCCCTCTGCCTGGCCCTGGACCTCTGCAGTGGCCTAACATCAGCAATGGGATCATGCTGGGCACATAACGATGACGGGGTCTGGGCGGACAGGCCCTCTGCCCCTCTCCAAACTGCACGGAGGGGCTGGGCGGATGGTGCTGGGGGGCCCATTGGGAGTGGGTAAAGCGGGTGCCAGAAGGCAACAAAGGGAGCAGAAGGGGTGCAAAGGGGAAGGTCTTGAGGCTCGTTTTGTCCCTAGTAAAGGGCGATCTTGGCGACTCTGCCAGGTCTCAGGACTTTCCTTCGCTCCGTGGAGAAGCCAGGGAGCCTTCCAGGAATAATGGTGAGGGGGGAAAGGCCAGTCATTCCCCAGACGGACAAGCTGTCCCCTCCCAGCCCTGGCACAGACGCCGAGGCCCCAGGACTCAGGCCAGCCCTCTGGACGACAGGTGTGGAGCGCACTATAGAACCCTGGCCACCGAGCCGGGCCGTGGCACCCCACAGAAGCTGCAGTCCTTTCTCGTCACACTGCAGGAGGTGCCCCACATCTCAGCCGGCACGTTTATCAGAAGCAGATCTAAGGGCGGGGCCTGAGGAGGGTGTGGGTAGCAGAGGCAGGATGATGGGGGAGCTCTTAGAGCCCCCCAGTCTTACACAAGCAAATGTTCAGTTGCCTCGAGGGAAGGGAAATGAGTAAGTGCATGAGGACAATCCTTCCCCAGTGGGGCCCTGCACTCTGCACTGTGTCCAAGCAAACATCTCATTTACTCTAAAAATAAATTCGTTCACATTTTGTTTTATTTGTATTTATTTTTGGTATTGGGGTCACACCTGGCGATACTCAGGGCTGACTCCTGACTCAGGAATTACTCCTGGCAGTGCTCGGGGGACCATACAGAATGTTGGAGGCTCAAACCCCGGTCAGCCACGTACAAGGCAAGTGCCCTACCCACTGTACTGTCTTTTAAATTTTAAAAGAACAATAAGAAGATGGCATTTTAATCGTGTAAGTGGAAAGCTAAGAAGGAAAAAAATTAGAATAATATTATCGAGCATCATAAACAGGAGTGTGTCTCTCTAGCCATGATGGCTTATTTCCATGAGGGATGTTTAAAAAGCTGTTTACTTACACACAAGCGACTTCCAGGACCCAATGTACCACCTCCTTCTGTGGTGCCCGACAAGCCCAGGAGCTTCCCTACGCAAGGTGAGGGCTCTGCTGTGGCACCCAGACACCCCGGGCTCACCCACTGCGTCAACCCCAGGCCTCACTTCAGCTGTTCTTCCATGCCAGCATGAGCTCACCTGCTCTGCGACTAGTATTTGTAAGGGTAAAAGCAGCCGTCGACTTTCCGTCTCTTCATGTCCCTCTTTCTCAGAGTACTCCTGTGCAGGGAGAGCCCACCCCAGAACCTCAGCCCCCAGGCCCTTGGCAGAGGTCCAGGTAGTGGTCACATGATGGGACCACCAGTTCTCACCCTGACAGGACTCCGTTTGCTTTGGGACGGCCACACCCGAGAGCCTGTTAGACATGCACAGCAGGCTGGATAGTGCATCTGGCAGGACGCTGGCCTTTGCACAAAACCAGCCGGGGGTTGATCCCTGGCACCACATCCAGGAGTGATCCCCGCGAGCCGCAGTTTGTACCCCCAAACGAAAAAAAGCAATGCAGATTCTAGGGCCTCCCTCGCCCCAGGCCCTCAGAACCGGAATCTAAACTTCAGAGGACCCCGGGGATTCAAATGCACATAAAGCCGGACAAGTTCAAGCTTAAAGGCTTTGGTGGAACTGTTCCCTGGCCAGGGTTCTCCAACCTCCGTCCCTACAGCATGAGGCCCGAGACTCAAATGTCTTCCAAGTCACATTTTATTTGTGATCATCATGCATAGATTTGTGGGGCTGGAGTGGTAGCATAGCGGGTAGGGCATTTGCCATGCACACGGCCGACCCGGGTTCAATTCCCAACATCCCATGTGGTCCCCTGAGCACTGTCAGGAGTAATTCCTGAGTGCAGAGCCAAGAGTAACCCCTATGCATCACCGGGTGTGACCCTCCCCCCAAAAATCATGTATAGATTTGTACATCCTATTTATACAGTCCTAATTTATAATTATGTTATTTATGTATAATTATTATGATAGATTTGAAATTCTTGGGAGAACATATACTCCATTATTAATATGTTGTTAGGTGGACAATGTGCATACTTATTTTCTATAAATACTTCCATTTTTCACAATCAGAATATATTCTCTTCATATAGGTAGAAAAAACAAGATTTGGGAAAATATATTAACAATTTAAGTTATGATTGGGGCTGGAGAGATAGTACAGTGGGGAAGGCTCTTGCCTTGTATGGCTGGCCCGGGTTCCACTCCCAGCACAATACATGTTCCCCCAAGCAGAACTAGAGGTGATTTCTGCGTGCAACTCTAAGGGAACTGGAGAGACAGTACAGCAGGGAAGGTGCTGTCTTTGCACTGGCCAACCTGGATTCAATCCCAAGCATACCATATGTTCCCCGAGCACAGACAGAAGTGATCCAGGAGAAAGAAAGAAACAGAGGGAGGGAGGGAAGGATGGAGAGAGGGAGGGAGGGATGGATGGAAGGAGGGAGGGAGAGAAGGAAGACTGGCTGGCTGCGAGGGATTAAGGCACTTGGCTTTCACTAGACCTGTCTGATCCCCAACACTGCATATGGACCCCTGAGCACTGCCAGAAGTGATCTCTGAGCACAAACAGATGTACCTCACCAACTAAAAATAAAGGTATGAGGGGCTGGAGAGATAGCACAACGGGTCGGGCGTTTGCCTTGCACGCGGGCGACCTGGGTTCGATTCCCAGCATCCCATATGGTCCCCTGAGCACCACCAGGAGTAACTCCTGAGTGTAGAGCCAGGAGTAACCCCTGTGCATTGCCAGGTGTGACCCAAAAAGCAAAAAAATAAAAATAATAATAAATAAAAATAAAGGTATGAGCTGGGGATATAGTTCAGTGGTAGAGTATTAGCCTTGCATGTGTGAGGCCCTGGGTTCAACCCCAGGCATCACACACACACACACACACACACACACACACACACACTGGGGCATATGCAGGAGCTGGGAGACAATACCAGCAGCAGAAGTCAGAAGCCCTGAGCAACAAACAAGGTGAGGTCCTAAATAAAAAATAAATAAAAATGCATGTGTTTGGGGTGGGTGCCCAAGAAATGGTCAGGGACCTCAAGGTCACTCCAGGTGATGCTGGTCAAAAGGGCCATGGTTCCACTCTGGGGCCAGGGATGCGGAGCTGCTGGGTTGTCTACAGTGCCGGGACTTCCAGGGCACCTGGTTGGTAGTTTGGGGCCCAGGGCTCCACCGCAGGGCCCAGTACACTAACCCCCCTGGTACCTGCCTGTTAAATACAGGGCCACTCCCAGAGTGCTGGGAATTGCACTCAGCCTTGCACACATAGGCAGGCAGAGAGCCCCTGCTCTCTCCCTCGTCCCGTGTTAGATGTATTTTGGCTTTGGGGCCACACCCAGCAGTGCTCAGAGCTTGTTTCTGGTGCTGTGCTCAGGGACTACTCCTGTGGGGATTCATGGTTCTGGGGAACAAACCCAGGTCAATCATGCGCAAGGTAAGCGCCGTCTCTCTCTTGCTCACACACTGGTTTGAGGTAGGAGTGTTTACCACTGATACCGTGTATATATTTTTCAATTTGTGAATATGGACGCTGAAAAGGGCATATACCAAAACATCCGACAGAAGTCTTGTGTCTTTCTACATTTAAATATTTTCCACAATCTTCCTACAAGTTTAAAAAGCACGGATCACTTTCATAGTAAGGGGGGAAAAAATAAAAACAAAAACCCAAAGTCATTTTCATTTTTGCAAACACCTGTATTCTTTATTTAGTTCCTTTCCTTCCAGTGACCCAGATTTTCACAGCCACCAAGGGAACTGCCAGGTCTGGAATCCCCAGAGCCATGCCACAGGTGAGGGCACCAGTCTCAGGAACGGCCCCACGTGATGCTGGGCGTCTCCCACCCACACTGCTACTCCCATACCACAGGAATGCGGGAAGTCAGTGCCACTTCCGGTGAGAAATCCGGTTCAGGAGTGGCCTCTTCCCAAAACACCTGCAGGACGAAGTATTTGCGCCACACCGCTGCCCCCTTGTGGCGGCACCCGGCAGCAGAAACTGTCTTGGTGACAGGGAGCAGCTGCAGTTAAAATCCCTTGTCCCTTCGCCTTTCCATCCCCAGAGCTTCGTGTTCTTGCATCGAGATACTGACACTGGTACCACAAAACCTGGTCCAGGTGTCAACCAGACTCAGAGCTTCGGCTGATGCTGGCGGTACTGCCTCGACTGGCCCTTTCCTTCCCATCTCTTCTCAGCTGCTGCTTCTCGCCCAGCCCAGCCTTTCCTGTGTGTGCTCCAAGAAGCCAGGGTCTAATTACTGCTGGGTCACAATCTTGCATGCGTGTGCGTGTGTGTGCGTGTGTGTAAGGATGTAAGATTTCTATGACAATTCAGTGAGGCTACAGCAGCAAATAAAAGGAGCCAATGCATTCTGAAACGAAGTATCAAGCGAGGAGTAAGTGGCATATGGAAAATGTTTTAGGCAACGTCACATACTTGTATTTAACCGAAAGAAATGAAGCCGCCAAGAGGAGAAAGGAAGAAGCTGACCTGGTTCCATTTATCTCCATAGGTGGGTGCTGAAGAGAAAGCTTAGTGTTTAAACTGAAACTTTAGGAGACTATCAGAAGAGAAGGCATGTTTGGGCTGAAGTGTCAGTGGGTAAGGAAGGCATCTGCCTTGCACGCAGCAAACGTGGAGTCAGTCCCCGGCCAGAGCCCTGCCAGGAGTGATCCCTGAGCACAGCTGCCCTTTGAACTCAAGAAAAGTCCTCTTAGCTATGACCTGGTATGGAATGCCCCACACACCCAATCAGAAGCAGCCGGCACCACCAGCTCTCCCCAGAACCTTCGAGGCTGTGGGCCTTAATGTCAAATGTGTCCACTTGTGTGACTGACATTTCCTTCGAGACGTCCAAGTGTAGTCAGTCTTCAATTGTGTCCTCTGGTCTCCAGATCAACACACCGCTTTCTTATTTTTCCAGAAAGAAGGAAACGCTGATCAGGATGTCTGAAATGGGATGAGAGAGAAAAGAAAAATGTGGCATTCCACTTCTCCATAATACACCGGCACTACTCCTCACATCTGGAACAGAGTCGACAATTACAGCAGCTGTGAATACAGCAGCTGTGGGACGGGCACTCAATAGACTACAACTCTGCTGATAAGAAAATGAAGTGACCTGAGCTGACCATGGCAGTGAGGGGGGACCCTGAGACACGGCTGGATGGAAATGGACACTGGCAGGTGTGGTGTGAAATGTTGAGTGCTGGAAGGCACAGAAACTAAAACTGAAAACTGAAGAATTTTCGTTAAAAGATGAAACAGTGTTGTTGGGGACAAAATGGAGTGATCTGGCAGTGGTTGCAGTAAGGAATCAAGTGAGAGAATCAAGGATGATTTCAATCACATGCAGCACAGAAGTAACTAAAGCAAACGAATGTAACACAACAAAGCTCCGAAGACTCAGGAAAAATCATGGTTGGTGATTGTCAGAGGAAAAGGGAGCTGTCAGGGAGGATGGGTAAAGGGTCCTTCTGGCGGTGGGAGTGGTGGACCCTGTACTCATACAGAGGCAGTGACATGCCAAACTCTGGAAATTCTGCAATGCTGGAATTCAATCCTGTTTTTCTATGTCAAAAAAGAATTTCAGACTTTAAAAAAAAATACAGGGATGTATTTTAAAAATACAGGCGGGCTGGAGACACAGCACAGCAGGTGATGCACTTGCCTTGCACACAGCTGACCTGGGTTTGGTCCCCAGCTCCGCATCGGGTTCCATGAGTCCCGCTAGGAGTGACCGCTGAGTGTAGAGCAAGGAGTACGCCCTGAGCACAGTCGGGTATGGCCCAGAAACAAACACAAAGAGGAGGAACTTTGGGGACATCTCCGTGATGCCCCCGAAGGTGTGACACCAGGCATGGAGACAGAGGCCTCCACAGACCCCAGTACCTTGGACGAGGTCCTGCTGTTCATCTTCCATGATTCTGTCCCAGGCTCTAGGTAAAGCCTGGATGTTTGCCAAGTCTTCCCACCGGACAGAGGACAGGAGGCACTTTCTCTTCAGGTACCTTCCCGCAAATTAAGGACTGCTCAAAAAGAAAATAAACTAGCATGAAGGAAAAAAAACCTGACCCTGCAGGGAGCTATGGGAAGCCAGCCAGCAGCCAGGGCAGCCACACGGCACCTGCAGAGCAGGACTCCCTGGACGGACAGATGGATGAACAGAGCCCAGTCACGAGGATGATTCCACGGTGGCAGGGAAACAGAAATGGACGGAATGGGGGCCTCAGAGCTTGTACAGTCGGTAGGGCACCTGTATCGCATACGGTCCACCCCAAGCATCCCAGATGGTCCCATAAGCCCTGCAGGAGTGATCCCTGAGTGCAGAGCCAGGAGGAAGCCCTGAGCACTGCCACGTGTGGTTGAACAAGAAAAAGAAAGAGATGGACAGAAAACCTCAAGCATGAGAGATAAGCCCAGAGCATTACTCCGCTGAGAAACACGCAAATCCCTCCAACTGAGAGGAGCAGTTCGGCCGGGCCCAGAGAGACCTGGCCAGGCAAGGACTCAGACAGATTTCTAGTCCAGCTGCACAGCACGGGGGGGGGGGGGGGGGGGGGGGGGGGGACAGGGTAGCAGGAAAGGGCGGCAGAGAGCAGGCGGAGCCAGACACCTTCATGGGTTCCTGCCCTTCACTCCCAGAAGTTCTATACAGCCCAGAAGGTAGTTCTCCAAGCTCTGAGGAATCAGCTCACCAAGTGAGATGGTTTAGACAGAAGCGAGAGACAAAGAAACCCATCACAGGGGCCGGAGAGACAGTAAGAGACTTAGAAGACAGCCCCCGTCAATACCTAGCGCCCCATATGGTTCCCTGGGGTCAACCAGGAGCCATCTCTGAATGCAGGAGTAGACCTTGAGCACCACTGGGTTTGTCCTCTGTGTGCCACAAACGTCAACAACAAACAAAAGATGTGGTATGAATAGATGATGAAACAGTATTTGGCCACTTTAAAAAAAAAAAAAAGAAGGAGGTTTGAGATTTGTAGCAAAATGGAGGAACTCAAGGGGATCACCCAAAGAAAAATAAGCCAAAAACCAAAAGACAAGCACGAGTGGTCTGCCTACGCATGGCATCTTGCATAAAGCTGATGGATGGGGGCTGCAGAATTGGCTAATGAGGGGAGCTCTCCATGCAGGAGCCCCAGGTTTAATCTCCAGCACTGCAGAGTCCCCTGAGCACCACTGGGAGTGATTCCCAAGCACTGAGCTAGGAGTAGCCTCTGAGCACCATCAGATGTGGCCCCAAACCAAAAAGATGAGTTATAAACTTGATGAGCAAATCGAAAGAGAAAGAATCCAGTGGCTAGTGACAACAGTACCCAGTTACTGAAGGGTGGTGGGCTTGGTTTGAATTTCAATCAACACAGATTTTGAGAAATAGGGCTGACCACATAACTCACTCAAGCCTTCAAGTAACTTTTTATCTCATCAGAGCCAAAGTCAACATGCTTCCCAAGCCCTCTGGGGCCCCAGGCTGCCTGGCACCATCTCTCTGGCCTGCTCCTGAGAAGCTCCCCAGCTCCCGCCGGCTACTTCCTGAACGCAGCAGGCATGCTCTGGCCTCAGGACTTCAGGGGCGCTTCCCCCGCTACACTACTTCCCTAAGTTTCAAATGCTCACCCACCCGCAGCCTCTGTAGACCTTCTCTCAAATGACAGTTCCCAGTAAGGCCTGTCCTACTCTGGTTAAAAATCACTTGCCCTCCTTACCACTTTCTCTGCTTTATTTTACCACTTGATATTTCCCTTTTGTTGATGCCAAACTCCTGGCGCTTAATAACCTGGGAAGTGGTTGTTACTTAATGATCTAGGGAAGTAACTGTACAAAGAAATGCAGAGAGCGCTCCAGGTCAGGCAGCAGCAGAGAGAGCGGACCCAGGCTATAGGATCTTGCCCTCTGTGAAACTGGAAACAGAAAGACTCCCAAGAGCGGCTCTGGACCAGATGGGAAGTGTGTGCAAAGGATACGCGTTCCGGTAGTATCTCTCGACATCCTGCAGCCATTCCAGCATGTCGGCCACGGAGGGGCTCACCGCAGATGCCTGCAGGGCAGCATCAATGCCAATGGCGTCTGCGTGCTGCTCATACACCCGGAGTCCGCGGTCCACATGGTTGCTGACTTCCTCGCACACGGAGAGGAGCGTGGCTCTGCAGGAAAGAGTGAAGTCAGGCAGGAGCACGACAGAAGTGAGCAGGTCCTGCTGGGAGCTATGTGCTGGGAGCCACCCTGCCAACCCTATCTCCACGGGAGCATATCATGCCCCCACAGTCCCTACCGTACCCAAGGTCCCACAAGGGAAAACTCTCTGGGCAGGTGGGGACTCAGAGCAAATGTGGGAGGACTTACAGGAGGCGGATCTGAGTTCAATCCCCAACACCACAAACATAAAAAATTAAAAATTCCTTAAGAACCAACTTAAAGGGGCCAGAGCAATAGTACAATGGAGAGGGCATTTGCCTTGCCAGCGGCCGACCTGGTTTGATCCCTGGCATCCCTTATGGTCCCCCGATCACCGCCAGGAGTAATTCCTGAGTGCATGAGCCAGGAGTAACTCCTGTGTATCGCCCGCTGTGACCCCCCCCCAAAAAAAAAAAAAACAAGCAAACAAAAAGAACCAACTTAAAGATGAACCAACTTAAAGATGAAGGGGCCACAACGTGTGCAAGGCTCTCAAAGCTATGCGACAGACTCTGTTGACCAAAAAGAAAAACGGGGAGGAAGGCAAAGGCAGCACAGCAGGGAAGGCACTTGACTTGCCCAAGGTTCCCCTGGGTTGGATCCCAGCACCCTGCATGGTCCCGAGCACCCGGCCGGAGTGATCCTTGAGCAGAGAGTCATGAGGACGTCAGCCCGGAGCACAACTGGGCATGTCCCACGCCTCGCCAAGAAGAAAAGAGAAATAAGAAAAGCACATCGGTTTTAAACCTCTCTGCCCAGAAAGCCCCAAGGAAGCCGCTTACAGCCTCTCGCCGAGCTTGTCCAGGATCACGTCCCCAGCGGTCAGCTGCTTGAGCCTCAGCCGCTCCTTTAGGTCGGGGAAGGCCCGCAGGGCCCTCACGTCTTCGAAGCGCAGCTGCTCGGCGGCCTGCAGCTGCTCGGCCAGATTGCCCAGGGAGGCCAGGAGGGCCGGGCACTCCTGCAGGGCGCTCTGCCACCGGCCCTCCTGCTCCTCCAGCGCGAGAAAGCATTTCCTCAAGGCTTCCTGCACTGCGAGCAACGGCTGGCCTGGAGACATCTTCGGGCCAAAAAAAAGAATCAAGAGCATTAGGGTCCTAAGTCGGAGAGGGACCGGGCCGGGAGTGGGCGTTACTTCCTTCCCAGCCAAACCAGGGGTGGGAACGCGGTGCGGATGCCGCCCCGCAGGAGCTCCGGGCTCTTGGTCTGACCTCGGGCCGGGCTCGGGGGAGCAGTGCCGCCCGCGTCGGATCCGTGCTTCCGGACCCTGAATCTAACTCTACTGTCTTTAAGCGCGTCCGTCGCTCCCCGCAAGCAGCGGGCAAACTGAAAGGCGACGCATCGACCAACTCAGGATGCACCCAACCCTCCACCTCGAGAACGCCGCGCGCGCTTCCGCCCGCCGTCCCTTTGCGCATGCCCGAGGCGGCTCCCGGCGTCGCGAAATGATGGCGTTCGCCGCAGTGCCTCCTGGGGGCTGTAGTCCTGCGCGCGGATTGGCTGGCGGACGGCGGCGCTCCCTGGCGATTGGAGGTCGTGGATCCCTTCCTGAGACGGAGACTTCTCATTCGCCAGCGGGCGGCAGTTTGAATTTGGAGGCGGCAGCCGCACGTCCGGTTAGCTCCGAGACGCTCCGTTTCAGGTGGGGCCGCGGGCGCTCGGCTTGGGGACCCGCAGGGACGTGGCCGGCTGCTTGCTTTTAGGCCCCGGCCGCGAAGGGCAAGGACGCACCGGCCCCGTGGCTGCCCCCGTCCTCGCCCCCTGCCCCCCGCGTCCTTGTCCCCTGCGCCATGGCTCCGGCTAGGAAGGGCGGCAGTCGGGCCAAGACCAGCTCCTTACGGAGCCGCAAGCTCGCCTCCTTCCTGAAGGACTTCGACCGCGAAGGTGAGGAGGCCCGGAGGGGGGCTCTGGGGGGAGAGAGAGAGAGAGTGGGGTGCGGTGCGGGGCGAGCTGGGGCGCAGGAGGCGCGGATTCGCCCGAGGCGCTGACCCCGCGCCCCGCCCCCCCCCCCCCCCCCCCCGCAGTGCAAATACGGTCCAAGCAGATTCAGTCGGACGCGCAGAACCTCCTCAAGGAGATCGACAACCTGTACAACATCGAGATCCTGCGGCTGCCCAAGGCCCTGCGCGAGATGAACTGGCTCGACTACTTCGGTGAGAGCTCCGCGCCCTGCCCCCTCGACCGCCAGCCCCTCCGCGGACCCCCCGGGAAAGGTTGTCTCTGGTCACTAGGGGAAATGACAGGCCTGCCACTCCCCGCCTGCTGTCCACCACCCACCACTCACGCCCGGCTTTATTACTCTCGGCAGGTAGCACTTCATCTCTTCTCCCCGATAGGCATCGAACCGGATTGGGTTCGAACCTGGGTGGGCCCAGCCAGGGGGGGGATTCTGTCGCAATCACTCAACTTTGCCCTGGGAGTTCCGAAACGGATATTGCAATGTGGGTTTCACGGACTTTTCTGTGTTACCCGACACTTTGTATTCGTCCCAGTCATCTAACAACAAATAAGTGGATTAGTTACCAAGGCTCAGCTGGTTCACCCTGCAAGAAGCTCTTTCTGCAGCCTCTGGGAATTGCTGCAAATCACACGTTGCAGCTACTGTAGGGTCCAAAACTTTTTCACCTCGCTTTTCCCTCCACCCTCTAGCTAAGTGTTCAAGGAAGTGCAGGATGATGATGACTTTCTGCTGGGTTATCCTTTCTCTCCCTTCTTATTCATTGCCCAAGGGGGCGGATGTGTTTCGTTTGCATTCCTGCTAGACTTTCAGTGACCCCCTTGACTTGGCCTTTTATTTGTGAATATGTTTGTGCATTTCTACAAATATTTCTGCTGGGTGTGCGTCTGTACTGTGCTTGCTGCCAGAGATGCTGAGAGATAAAGCATTGCGCCCACCTTTATAAGATATTAGAGAAGGGCCTTTTTAAAAACTTGCACATGCTTGGGGCCAGAGTGATAGTACAGTGGTTAGGGCACTTGCCTTGTGTATGTATGGCCAAGCTGGGTTCAGTCTCTGGCATCCCATCTGATCCCCAAATCCTTCCAGGAGTAAGCTCTGATTACCACTGAGTGTTAATCAAGAACAAAACAGAAACCTCAACTTGCATGTGATTATATAATTAAAATTATATCAGTACTATGAGAAAGCCATTGTATCATGCTTTGTGTATATTGGCTTTATTCTTGCAACTGTACCAAGTATCAATATTATCTCCTTTTTATAGATGACGGACGTGATTAGAGCACAGGGAAATTGGTTACTTTGTTCAAGGGCTCATTAGCTAGTTAGTGGCAGTCTCTGAACCCAAACTTTGGATTGGTTGGTTGACAGGTTGGTTTTGTAGTGCCTGTATTGAACCTAGGACCTCACACCTGCAATACACTCTACCACTAAGTTACTTCCCAGGCACCCAAAGCCTGAGTTCCTAACAGTTACACATACAGGATGTTTCTACATACATACTGGGGTTTTAGCAAGAGGACTGAACTTTTAAAAAATTTTACTTTGGGGAGAAGCCAGCCTTCTCTCCTGGATGAGTCTCTGTCTGTCTGTCTGTCTCTCTCTCCCCCTCCCTCCCCTTCCCTCTCTCCTCTTTATCTCCCTCCCACCATATTCCCTAAGTAAAATTTTATTAAAAAAAAATTCTACATCTGAACATTACATAGACCTCTCTGTTCAACACACATTTACTACACACCTATATTTTTTTACCAGAAATTAGCGTTATTATCTCTGTCCTCCAGCACTTCAGTTCAAGGCACAAGCACATTCCAATAGCTTTGAGTCGTTGAGTGTGATGGCAGTGAGCGACTAATGCAGTACCTGTAGGAATCTGTTGAGATAGAAGAATAAGCAGATTTTTGTTTCTGAGCTGGGTTTCGTTTTGTTTCCTTTGTCCTGTTGGTCCTGGGGGGCTACTCCTGGCTTCGGGGTTATTCCTGGTTGTTCTTGGTGCCAGGAATCCAACCCAGATCTCCAGCATGCAGTGCATGCTCTCAGCCTGTTGAGCTATTTCTTTGACCCCTTGAACTAGTTCAAGAAGTGCGAGTTAGACATTTTGTCAGGTGCACAGTAGTTTTTTAGGTGAGAGAAGTTCCAGGGTATTCATTGAATCACATGACAGGTGCACATTTTGCCTATGGGGGGGGGAAGGGACACACCCAGCAATGCTCAGGGGTTACTCCTGGCTCTGCACTCAGAAATTGCTCCCGGCGGTGCTCAGGGACCACATGCAGTGCCAGTGATGGAACCCGAGTCAGCTGCACGCAAGGCAAATGCCCTCCCCGCTGTACTCTCTCCAGCCCACAGCTGCACAATTTGGAAAGAACAGGAGCTTTGATATGAAGGAACATATAGGTCATGAGGGGAAGGAGTGAAGTTTGGGGAAAGAATACTAGATTGTGAAGGTTCTTGGATGTTGGCTTAAGGGATTAACTAGTCTACTTTTTGAAAGATAATTTTGTTCATTGAAGAAGATAAATTTAGGGATCAGAGAGCTAGTACAGTAGGTAAGGCGCTTGCCTTGCACACAGCCAACCTGGGTTTGATCCCCAGCACCCTCCAAGACTGATCTCTGAACACTGCCAGACGTGGCCCGCGGGGACTGTGGGTGGGGGGAGAGATGATGAATTCTGCCATTTTTATCTGATAGTGAATAAACCAAATGTTCCTTTTAAAGCTCTTGGAGGAAGCAAGCAGGCTCTGGAGGAAGCAGCAACCGTAAGTGACTCGTCCTGTCTTTGAACTGTCCTCTCAGCTAGTTCTCAGGTTCAGCCCAGTCACAGAATCCTGCCGGTATGTGTGTCCTGTGGAAGAGGACCCAAAGGGGGACACTCTGTGCCTCCTGGCCAAATGCCGGGTACGTGACGCCCAGAGTTGCGAGCCCTCCCAGAGGGGCCAGCTCTATTTTGGGCAGATGCCTTGCTGCCCTTGGGCCTGACCTCTGCAGGAAAGGAGAGAACCTCAAGCCAAGTTCCTTGAAGTCCCTGGGTCATTCATTAATCATGACTTGCCTGCTCGGTGTGATAAAGTGACCTTCTTGTGCCTTACCACAGAAGCACTGCTATTGCTCAGAACTCTCGGGATTTCCTCCCTCGTCCCCCCACCCACCCCCAGTCTTCACTGATACTTCCCAGAATCGGTACCAAGACCATTACAGGTAGTAAAACTGGGAGACAAAATAGAGCACTGGCCTCTGTAAAGTTCTGTGTGATGATGTTGGGAGTTGGTCTACAGAAATGGGCACTCAGAAAATCACACCTAGACCCTGTGTATGTGTGCACACCTTTGGGAATCTGACTGGAGAAGAAATTGATTTACAAAATCACCAGATTTACAAAGGAACCCCCCAGTCTAAATCCTTGTACGAGTTAATCATTTGCAGTCATTGCATGGAAGTCACTGATCATGCATCCTTAGAGCTTAAAGCGTGCACTGTAGCACCTCGGGAGGGCACAGAGTGCATCATCTCTGCCTGCCAGCCTCTGACGTCACCCAATCAGGAAACAGGCTGAGACTTCAAGGGTGAATATTATAGAGATGAGTGGAAATAACTGAAAAATAAAAGAGATAACATGTCATTGGTTCATGCTTTTTCTTTGTAATATGTTGCCCTGCATGCATTCAGATTTCATGTTCCCAAACCTCTCAGATGAATGCTACCCATCAGCTAATGCATCACCCACTTTTTAAGTTTATTAGGCATATGGGACTATAAGTTAGAGCTGCTCGGGTAATAGGAGATAGCCAGTGTCACAATATCAGATCAAGAGACTTCCCACTTTAGTTACTATGGCTTAAAGCCCAAGGAAGAAATCATGCTTCTGTATAAAAGTCTTCCATTGCACAAGAGGTTCCAAGACCACTCCAGGAGTAGTCGTTCACTAGAAGAACTCAGGGCTTAGCATGTAGTCATGCTCCTAGCCATCATTTACCACGGTGACAGATGGAAAAACGGGGGGGGGGGGGGGGGGGGGGAAATGCACGCAGCAATGTCCAGGGGAAACCAGGATCATGGAATTACTACACGGGACACGCTTAATGCCATCCAAGGGAATGTTGTCTGGCGGAGACTCGTGAGAGACGCAATGTCCACTGTTTTTACTGAATATAGGCTACTTAGGCCTCTCCTATCTGGCATGTATCAAACTTTCAGACTTCCAGAAGCAAGTACAGAGCAGGGAGCTTAGGCACAGTGATGCGTTCTTATCAGGGAAGCATGAGTACTGGGATCCACACTCCCAGGCCTTCCTGAGGCTGTCCGTGAGGCAATCCGTGTTCACTCTGCTGGACAGTGGATCTGAGGCTGTCCCCCAGTGATGCCTGCTCACTTTGCCTGTTGTCTCAAGAGTGAGAGGAAGTTCCCACTGTATTCTGGCATCCGTCTCAGCCATCGCTCACTTAAAACAGCCATGTTTTGTTAAAACAGTCAGCCTCAGAATCTTCTGAGCACTCCATGCGGTCCCCACCGCTCCAGAGATGAAGTCTTCTAGTCTGCACAGGTCCCCACCGGTCCAGAGATGAAGTCTTCTAGTCTGTACAGCCCTCTAGTCTGTACAGCTCTTCTGGGTTTCACACAGACCTTATGAGGAAAGGACTAGGAATCAAACCTACTCCCAGCTATTTCCATATGTGTAGACACCCTAGGACCAAGAGCACAACAGAAACTGTCAGACACCCTCTAGACTTTAAAGAGAGAAAAGTCTGACACCACACAGTGTCAAGAATGCGAGGCTGGGTCCAGAGTACAGCAGGTAGGTTGCTTGCCTTGCAGTGGCCAACCTGGGCTCAATTTCGGCACCCCATGCAGTTTCCTGAGCACAGCCGGGTGTGCCCCGCAAACAAACAAGATAGCCGAGGGCCAGGGAGATAGTATAATGGGGAAGACTTTCACCCTGCATGCCACTGACCCAGGTTCAATCCCCGGCACCACCTAGGGTCCCCCAGCATGGCCAGTATAGAAAAAATAATTATAGCTGAGTTTCTAATAGCAAAACACTTGACAGATTAGATAAATCATTGCCATAGGTTTGTAGTGGGATATGGCAGTGGAAATAACTAAACATAAAAACCAAATGATGTATCACTTAAACACTTGCTATATTTGAGGGGTACGTTGTTCCTGAGGGAACAGGGAAGAATATGGGGATAGAAGCAAATCAGCAAATGATTTTAGGCATCCGATTGTGACCGACAGGATGAACCGTATCGCCTTTTAGGAATATGGGGCAGTCTTGTGTATGCAGACCGGGGCTGCTGGAGATGTGATTCTCTGTGGTAGAGTTCACGGTTGAATGTATGATGCCCTGGTTGAACCCCTGGCATCAAAACAACAAAATTCATTGTTTCTAGATTGGTACAGTGCCTTTCTCATACTTGGTAGGTGATGCCTGCTGTTTTCTGGCTGTTTGTTACAGGCTGATCTGGATATCACAGAAATCAACAAACTGACAACGGAAGCTATTCAGACACCCCTGAAATCTGCCAGAAGTGAGTACTTTCCCAAACCCAGTGTTGAGTTGAAAGAGAGGGGACCCAGGGTGGTTGGCCGGTTGCTCAGGGAAACCTCCTGGTGGAGCCTCTTCCCTGTGGTAACTGGTCCTTTCTCTTGTGAATCCAGAAATAAAATTCTGGCTGGTCAGTACTGTCCATTGTACGGAGGACTGATATGAGCCAGCTTCTCGAGTGCCTTGTGAGCCAGAGAAGTGAAAGGAGGAAAAGCCGGGCAGGATACCAGACTTTGCTGCTGTTTCCCTGGAGTTAGGTTAATTACGATGAAGTCGTGGGTGGACCACACCTGGCAGTGCCGAGGGACTGCAGCGATCGGGGCTGTACCCTTCAGTGCTCTGCTCAGGGCCATGTGGTGCGGGGGATTGAACCCAGGGCCTCCTGGAACTCAAGGCTTGTGCTCTTCCACTGGGCCCTGCGGTGAGTAGGCTCTGTGGATGGATTTAGCGTGTCATGCCAGCTGCAGCTCCTGATGCTATCATGGGGTTAAAGGGAACACGTTCCTGGCCCAGCATTCGGTGTTCTCTGTTCAGTGGCTCCATTCAGTGGCCGAATTGTGCAAGGCCCCGATGCCTCCTGGGCTTAGACATAGTCTCTGTGAGCTGTCGTCCGTTTCCCCCCAACTCCCATCATGAAAGAGTAAACTCAGATGCTCATTTCATGTGTCAGGGGAAAGATCATTTAGCCAGGGAAGGTCGGGGCGTGCTGGCGTGAGTGTGACTATCCCAGACGGGGCACTTCTCAGCCGTTCTGGAGTGAGGGTGTGTGACGGAGGAGAGCCTCCAGCCACCCACCCTCAGCCCCACTGTGGGATGGCAGAGGTGAGCGCACGCCGTAGCACACGCATCTTCCTAGTACATCTGGCCCAGGTAGAAGCATTGAGACAGCAGCAGCTTCCCAGATGTCCTGCCCCACGTGGGGGATTGTGCATCCAGGAGATGGTACGGGAAGGAAGGACTTACCTCCAGGTTTTCTCCCCTGATTAGTTTCAGGATTAGCGGGCTTGGTTTTACTGAGACCAGGCCTAGGTTTAAGGATAATACATGAACACCAATGAGTCTAAAATCTGGGTCCAGGCACATTTGGGGTTGAGGGGTCCCACAGCCAGTGATGCTCAAGGGTCACTCCTGGCTATACAGTCAGGAATCACTCCTGGAGGTGCTATGGAAACCATACCGGATGCTGGGGATCGAACCCAAGTGGGCCGCGTGCAAGCAAGCACCCTCCCCACTGTACTGTCTCTCCAGCCCCATCTGTACATATACTTATCATGAACACATTTGCTTAGGCTTGTGGAATTAATATCAGCTAAATTAGAATGGAATCTGGAAAGAGGCGGTCCTTTACTCTCTCCCCCACCCACCCGTGTGTGTGTGTGTGTGTGTGTGTGTGTGTGTCAGTGTCAGTACTGAAATACAATATCCCAAGATGCATAGAAAAATGTCAAAGGTTATTTAGTCTGATCTCACCTCTCCACAATTGCATGCATTTTCCCTTTGGAATTTCTCATCAGGATTCTTGCTTCTGGTTGTAACACTCAGCACTGAGACACTTACTTTCATCACTAAATAGCTGTGATGGTTTTAGAAGCTTTCCTAAGTTTCCTTGAGCTGTGTCTCTACAGTGTATTTTATTATAATAAATGTAATACGTACCACCCAAAAGACTTTACCTTCACTCCCAGGCACTTAATAAATACAGGCATATTGATAACGAAAGAGCCTGTTCTATGGTGCCCACACTTCAAGCCTCTTAATTACCCGAGAAAGGGACTGTTCCCTTCTTATTTAAAGCTTACGTTTTCTTTGTTTTGGTTTTGAATTTTGAGGCCACACCTGGCAGTGCCGGAGAGTTATTCCTGTCTCATTCAGGGTTGTTCCCATTGATATTCCTCAGCGATCCATGCAGTGTGGGTGTTTCATGTGGTGCCTCAGTTTCCTCATCTGTGAAAGGAAATCAAGCAGGGTGGTAGCTCACCGTGCTGAAGTCTGCCATGTGACCTAGTTGGTGGTGGAGCTGGGCATTGGGATCTGCTCTCAGAGTGCTGAGCTGTCCATCCTCGGCTGCCGAGTGTTTTGTCGGTTGGTTTTCTGTTTTTGTTGGGGCGGCCTACCCAGTGGTACTGGGGGCCAGCAGGCTCTATCCAACCGTGTGAGGCCAAGTATCCACTCAGGACCTCATACCAGCAAGGCATTCAACCGTTTGCTCTCACCCTGGCCCACAGTGGGCTTTTTTTTTTTTGCTTTTTGGGTCACACCCGGCAGTGCCCAGGGATTACTCCTGGCTCATGCACTCAGGAACTACTCCTGGCGATGCTCGGGGGGACCATATGGGATGCTGGGAATCGAACCAGGGTTGGCCATGTTGGCTGCGTGCAAGGCAAACGCCCTACCGCTGTGCTATCGCTCCAGCCCCACACAGTGGACTTTTTAACCACTCTGATTTGTTTGCATTGTCAAAACCCCATTGTTCTCAAACTCGTCTTTATATAGGATCTGTCTCTGGTTGCAACCCTTAAACGCTACTATAGGTTTTATTTCCTAAAAGAAATGTGAATGTGGGTCTCAGGACAGTTCACAGGGCTGGAGCACAAGGTTTGCCTGCAGGGGGCCTGTGTTTGATCCCCAGAACCACGTGGTTGGTCTCCTCAGCACCAGATCGGGTGTGGTCCCCCTTTCACCCAAAATGTAAAAGCATGGAAGTTCATTCCCGAGAGGAAAAACATGCTGTTAAAATTGTTTCTTATAGCACGAAGGGCAGTGCAGCTGGATGAAATGATAATGGAAGAAGAAGAGAATAAAAATAATCGTCAAACTGCACGAGTAAGTAGGCACTGGGTTCAAGACTAGGGGCTGACAGGAGACAAAGAAAAATAAGTACAGTTCTCAGTTTAGTAGAAAAGATCTCATTGACCCAAATATGAAAGCTTGTAACTATCTCATGGTGATTCAATAAAATTTAAAAAATGGAAAAAAAAAAGAATAAAAGAAAAGATCTCATTGAAATGGCCAGTGATAAAAGTGATGCTAGAAATTCGTGCAAATGGGTAGAGCCTTGGGGGGAAGCTCCCACCTGACCTTTAGGAGGGAGGGAGATTTCCCAGCGGAGAGAAGGGAGCCCCAGGAGGTAGGAAAGTGCCGTGAAAGGGAGGGGGGCAGGGGGCGGTGCAAGTAGATGGGGGCCTGGTGACGAGTAGCCTGAGAGGACTGGGGCAGTATTCCAGAAAGGTCTTCAGGGTGCGGAGAGGGGAAACTGGAGGTGAGGAACCTGTTGGGAGGCTGTTGCAACACTTTAGCTCAGGCCCTGGCCCTGTAGCAAGAGGGGTGGTTGGAGGTGAGTTCACGAGGGAGAATGGGCAGGGCTGGCGGGAGGGACAGGCGTCCGGGCAAGGCGGGCTGGGGGAGGGGAGCAGCTCCTGTGCTGCCAGTCGCTGGAGGTATGAGCATTCAGTGCTTTTTGGAAGACCCAGCCCAGAGCCCGGGGCGGAGTAGGGGCTAAGGACGCTCCAGTTGTCAGGAGGTTACCCAGAGTCGGGGAGAGACAGGAATCAGGAGGTGGGGAGAGAGGCCCACCGCTGCGGGACAGCCACGGCTGTCAGGAAGCGGGGTGGCTCTTGGATGACAAGGAGGGGACAGCTGCTAGGCTGGTCCTTGCTGAGTACCTCCAGGGACTGCCAACGGTCCCTGGGATTGGGTTTCCTGGGTGCCCATAGTGACCTTCCTAGCAGCCCTTACATTGAGGGGCCCAGAGGGTAGAGACAGGCCTCTGTTCAGTGCTGTTGATCATACATGTCGCTGGGCTGCGTGAGGTCGACCTTCTGTGTTCGGTGCTGGTGATCGTACATGTCGCTGGGCTCCGTGAGGTCGACCTTCTGTGCTCGGTCCGGGTTTCCTTTCAGTGCTGGTCTCCTGATGTTTTTGCCCTCCCAATCCTCTCCCCTTCCCTGGCTTTTCGTAACCTGTTTTATTTCATTATGACGTTCAGGTCAAGAGGTGCCCTCCATCCAAGAAAAGAGCCCAGTCCATACAAAGGAAAAGCAGGAGTAAAAGGTAATGGGTGTCCTGAGTGAGCATGTGGGTTCTACTGGTCAGCCCTAAGCAGAAATTGGGGCGGGGGCAGGGGCGGGATGTGAGAGGGGCATTGTGCCTCTGATCTGAGTAGCACTGAGCACCAGCTAACCCTCGAGGGAGCAGGTCAGCTATGGGGCGGGGCTCTTTCCTCCTGCACCTTCCCATCCGGGGTTTGCGGAGGGGGTTAGAACTATGTGTCTGGTGGTTCTCAAAATGGGACCCGGGACCCGGGCTCTGCTGCTGGGCTACCTCCCTACTCCCACCCCGGCCCCCATGAATTAAATGTTGTTCAGTTGCTGGGCAGGTCTGTCTGTCTGACAACCACACAAAGTGGTTGTCACCTGCCCTAGTGTGCTGACGTCTCCTTCCTCCTCTGCTAAGTTCAGAGTCCCCTGGGCTGGGCCCTCCTTGGGAGGAGGGGCTCATTGCAGACAAGCTTGTCGTTGGAGTCTGCCTGGAAGGAGCAGACTCCCATGTCTCGAGGGCGGGCGGGAGGGCTAGCTAGGGCCACCTCCTCGCCTGCCCCAGCTCTGCTGGGAAGTCCAGGTTTTGGGGGCAGGGTTCCAGCTCATCCCTCGTGGCAAACTTCTGCCATCCAGTTTCTGCATCTAATGAGACGAATGTGCAGGGTGGCCTGGAGGGTCCCCCAGGGACCGTTTTACATAGGATGGTACCTGGTTAGTCAGTACCCAGTGTGGCCCACCCGAGTGTGCACCTCGGCTGCCATCACTGCACCCGAGAACCAGCGCCCCTCATGGCTGTCTCTTGCCCCCAGGTCAAGCCACTGTAACATTGTGACCCCCGCTCTGAGCCGTCTAGAGTTGTCCCTGGTGAAACCAACCCCAGGCCTGACTCCCAGGTTCGACTCCAGGTGAGTCTCGCACAGCACCCGCCAGCGCCTGCCAGTACCGAGGAAGGAGGGTGTGCAGGAAACACTGGGTGGCTGTCCCTAACCTGGGAAGGGGCACGTGCTGCTGCCTCTGATGACGGTGCAGCCTCTGCACAGTCCTGGTCTTCTAGAGCTGTTTAAAATGCTCTCCCGCTCTCCTGAGAGGACTGGACCGTGACACCGTCTCTCGGGAGATGCTGTCGCAGTGGAGGTGACACAGCATTGCTGGGAGAGAAGCATCTGATGGTGGATGGGAGCCCCTCATGAGCCCCTCCACTAGATCGCTGGTTCCCAGAGTGGGCGGTGCTGGGAGGCAGTAGCCTGGGTGAAAGGACGGGTGTGTGTTTTGCTCATTTAAAGAAGGTAGATTTCCAAGAGTCTTTCTTTTTCTTTGGTTTGGTTTCGAGCCACACACAGCAATGCTCAGGACTTACTCCTGGCTCTGTGTTCAGGGATCACTCCTAGTGGCGCTTAGAGGACCAGATGGGATGCCAGGAATTGAACCTGGGTTGGCCTAGGGCATGGCAGACGCCCCACCCACTGCGCCATTGCTGCGAGCCGGGGCTATATCTATTTTGTTCCCTGAAAAGGGAGTGGTTGGACAAATTTGGGAACCTCTGTCCGAGATGTTTGCTCTTCGGACATTTCTGGGAGGATGCAAGGGATTATAACGTGAATAGCATGTTGCAGAGAGCAAAGGAGACTCACCTGCTTTTCAGTTCCACTCTACTTCAGTTCACGTGAGCATTTAGCGAAGGACACCCAGGGCTAACCATGGAGCAGCATCTCACCTCTCCGAGAGAACTTGGGAGTTAATATCCTCTCTCAGTAATCTGCCTGTGACCCAGGGAAGTCGCTCTTGTTAGGGGTCACTCGGCCTCATTCCCGGGAACACATTCCCCCAGGGGGAGGGAGGAAGAGCATCACGACTTCAAGCTTACAGGGATCAGAACTGACTTTCACACGATGTGAGTTTGATAATCAGTCTCCTTCATCCAGCTGTGAGTCAATGCTGCTTTAAAAAAAAAAAAATCCCCCTAAATTTAGAGCTTGCCTTCTTAGAAGTCTCTGACTTGAGAACTGCAGCCCAAGGCGGGCGGGGGCGGGAAGGCGGGCCCAGGGTCTTCACAGAGACTTTCCCCCTTCGCAGGGTGTTCAAGACCCCGGGCCTGCGCACTCCGGCAGCCCGGGAGCGGATCTACAACATCTCCGTGAACGGAAGCCCTCTCGCAGACAGCAAAGAGATTTTCCTCACCGTGCCCGTGGCAGGTGGCGAGGTAAAGTGCCCGAGGGAAGCCAGGCCACCCCGGCCACCCGCTCTCCTCCCCAAAGTCCTTTGCGTGGATCTCACACAGCTCCAGATTCAGACCTGCTTTTCTCTCCTGGGTGAGACCCAGGACTGGGGCAGGGCCATGGCCAGCTCGGGACTCCACCTGGACATGATTTCCCATACCTGCGGGATAATAGCAGGCGCGTCCACCAGGAACTCTCCTGATGTGTCGTGGAGCGAGGAGCTGTTGCAGGTGGGGTGGGCAGGCACTGTTGAGGCCGGAGCATAGACCGTGCCTCCCTGTGCTCGGCCGTCTGGGCTACACCGCCTGCTCAGCTCCGGTTCTGAGGGAGGCCGAGCTTCAACTGCTGAGCACCCTGGAGCCGGCTGAGGGGCCGGTGCCTGGCGGGCAGCCATCCCTGCTCAAGGACTTCCTTAGCTCATGTGCCTGCTCCGTGCCAGGCCACTGTGGCCAGCACTGACCGCGGCCTTATCTCCTGAGACACGGTCTCTCCCCCACCAGCTGTGGCGTTTCAGGGAGTGTGAAGGCTTGGCCGCTAAGTGGACATTCCTACGGGCCTGTCCTCACCCTCTTTTCCATCCACACAGAGCATGCGGTTACTGGCCAGTGACCTGCAGAGGGTTGACATCGCACAGCTGGACCCGGAGGCCATCGGCAACATCAGGAAACTCTCTGTAAGTCTCCCCACAGCCGCCTGCCTGGGTTCACCGTGCTTAGTTAGGAGTCTAGTGCCTTACTTCACCACCTAATCATCATCACACTGATAACGGGCACTACTGAAGAAACACCTTCACACAACAGGCACTGCTCTGTAAGGAAATCATTGTGAAATTCGGTACATGAAACTACCATACTCACTCTGTTACCTCACAGTAGTCCTGTCCCCAGTCTGACATGGAATTTCATCCAGCCCCGGTGCCTGCCACGGAAGAGCCATAAAATCAAAACTGCCTCGTTTGGCACATGAGGGAACAGTTGAGCACCAGGAGTGAGCACTTGTTCCAGACAGTTGGGTCGTGTGGCGATGCCCCTTAGCAGGAAGTCCACACCTGGAAAGCCAGTCCTGAGCAGCCAAGCCTGGGGGGCGAGGGGGTCTCCTCAAGGGGCTTCTAGAGCTCAGCTGTGTCTCTGGGGCCTGTGCACTTTCTCCGGCCAGAAACCTTGCCCCGGTGCTCTGGGTGCTGCTTGCCCGCTCCTGGGTGTGTATGTCGCTTTGGGGCCCACTCATCGTCTGCATCACCGTTCAGCTTCCTGTGCTGGGTGAACTTGCCCACCGCAGGAATTAAACTGGCTTCACTTGGGTGGGATGAGCTCCTGGTCCCGACAGCTCCGTCTTGGTGGTGGGTGGGACCCCAGATCTCCTCCTAGCTCTCCAGCTGAACTCGCGGCATTCTTGCCCCTGAGCTCCCCTGTCTTGCTTGAGATGTCCGTTTACAGCCGTGTTGAGCTACAAGGTGGAGACGCGGAAGGATTGGAGTGTGAGGCAGCAGGGAATGGGGGTGCTGCACGCCCTCCTAGCGCTGGGCGGGCCGAAAGTACACGGGCATGCCAGGACCCTCCTGACCGCCAGTCTCTCTCTCTCTCTCTGTGTCTCGCAGACCCGTCTTGCCCAAATCTGCAGCAGCATACGGACTCAGAAATGAGGCTGCATTTCCAAGACACCAGACACGGCAGAAGGGACCTTCTGCAGGCACTTCTGAAACCTGAAGAGACCTCTCCCCTCTGAGCTGTTTGTTTGAGTGTGAAGTTATGTGTTTCCTGTGGGAGCATTCAGACAGCAGGAAATGCCATTCCCCTATCCAGTAGATAGAGCTTCGCTGGTCCTAGGGACGAGCACTGCAGTAGAGGTTCCCTGTCATCTCCCAGCTAAGTTCTCCTTCCTGCTCTGACCTGCCACCTCCTGCCTCCTGCCTCTCGCATCCTCCTGCGTGCTCGGCCCTGCCCTGACCCCAGTGGAGGTGGCCCAGAAGAACCTCTCATTCTCGGGACAACCCACCGCAGAGCGCCCTCCACATCTGCCACTGGCCCCCTGGGTAGCCTCTCTCAGAGAAGTGAGGGCAGCACCAGACAGGGGTGCAGCTGCACGTGGGTCCGGCTCAGGGGCTCCGGAATCTCAGGCCTCCTCAACCCACTCCTTTCTCCAGGCTGATCTGGGCAGTGTTCTGTACTCCTCCATGTTTACTGAAGACCAATATGTGTTTGGAGGCAATTTCTGTGTCTTCTCCTCTACCTCTCTCTGGTGGGGATTTGGATGAGGCCGTGGAGGGCGCAGCCTGCAGCCCTCGCCCCCCGCAAGCCCTGTGCATCTCCTGTGGGGACCACCGGGGAGCAGGGCTCACTTGTCTATGGCCACATCCCGCGTGGTTTTGAGTCAGCACTGAAGTCCCTGTCCTGTGCTCCAGCAAGCCTCTCTGCCCCCCAGAATCATGAGACGTGGTCCAAAACTATGGGGACAGTTCCTCGTCCCCACTCCAGACTTGAGGGCACAGTTTTCTCTCACGTAGCTCCTTACTGTACTTTGTCTTCTTGTGCTGCCTGACCAGGCCGAATATCCGAGTAATCCAGTCCAGCTCCAACTATTACTTTCAACTCATTTCTGTCTTCTTTCCTGAGACTTTTGTACATATTGTTTTACCGAGCAACTGCATATAATCTGATTTATTTTAATCAGAGCTACTTGTTAACCTGTTTTCAATAAATTGTGTGAGTTTTTGTTTTTTGGTGGTTTGTTTTGTTTTCTAATCAGTGTCCATCCTGCTTGTGAATTCCAAGATGTGGCACCTGACCTAGACACTGTCTCGGAGCTGAAGTTGGAGCTTGGGGGCAGGTCAGCCAGAGCCAAGCAACAGCTTTCTCCAGCCCGGTGAAAGCAATCCTCCCACTCTCATCCCTCATCCCTGGCGGGGGCAGCACAGCAGAACCGCTAGGTAAAGGAGGAGCCCCACGCTGGCGGTTTCAAAGAGCCAAGCTGGCATCCCAAGGAGTCATCCTATCCTTCTCGAAGCTGCCTGGGCCTTCCTCTGGAAAAATCCAGAGGGATGAGCCTGTGAAGCATTGATTTTTCATGGAAAGAGCTCAGGTTTTGGGAAGGTTAGGATATCATTTAAACGTTCCCCGCCTCACTAAAGGCCTAACCTCCACGAAAGACAAACCCGCCCATATGTGTGTACACAGACTCCAGGAATTTTCCTCAGTTCATAGACATTTGCTGCCCCTGCCTGAGTTTCAGCTGGCATCTGTATCCAAAATACGAATAGTGATCATAATTCATGAGGCTTCAGAAATGGGCACCAAGAGAGACCAGTAGAACTGGTCCCCAGAGCAATGGGGAGGGTGTTTGCCTTGCACATGGCTCACCCGAATTCAATCCCCAGCATCCCTTATGGTCCCCTAAGCCCCATTCCCCACCAGGAGTGATCCCTGAGCACTGCTGGGTGTGCTTGGGTATTTGGTCAGCTGGAGCCAAACAACAGCTTTCTCCAGTGCTGATAAAAGCCATCACCCAAAAACCAAAGTAAATTAAGGGAAAAAATGAACTGGGCCCTCACTGAGCTTCCTATATCTCAGGCGTCGAAACCAACTGCCCAAGGCCAAGGTGCCAACTCCCTCTGCCCCGGTTCACCTAACAGCCCCCTGTCTCTCCCTGCTGGTCATAACACTTGCAACTGCCCTTGGCTGTCTCTCCCTTAGTTCAACCAGGGGTGGTGAGTGTAAGTGGCATTTTCTGACCATCAGGAGACGAGATGGTGGAGGACAGAACATAGCAGCACTGAGACACCAGAATAGGTCCCATCTGCCCATTTTAGTGCCCTCGAACCCAGGTTGCATGTGATATGCCGAGTGCCCTCGGGATGGAGGACAGTCTCCAAGGGTGCCCTGTTCCCTCAAGAAAGAGCCACAATGAGGCTGGAGCAATAGAACAGCAGGGAGGGCATTTGCCTTGCACACAGCCCGACCTGGGTTCAATTCCCAGCATCCCATATGGTCCCCCAAGCATGGTCAGGAGTAATTCCTGAGTGCATGAACCAGGAGTAACCCCTGTGCATCGCTGGGTGTGACCCAAAGAGCAAAATTAAAATAAAAGAAAAAAGCCACAAGGCCATTCTGGCCACCAAGGATGGCTCGGGTTTGTGTTTTGCTCCTTGAGCTCAGGAATCCTATCTCCAGCAGGATCCTGAGGTCATCCCAGGCATTTTCTGACCCTCGGGGCTCTGCAACTCCAGCAGACTAGGATGGACCAGAGGGGACTGATGGGTGTATTCAAGACACTGGCATTTAGATGAGGAAGTTGCAGTGGAGAAAGGTGCTGAGTGGTTTAAAGAGGGCGGGGAGTCCTGCAGAGTCAGGAATGGGTGCCCCTCCCTCCTCCCCGTGCGTCTGGTAGGTAGCCTCACGCCCACAAACTGCCTCTGGTACCATATAAGCTCATTAGTGGCCATGATCCAGAGACTCACTTATAAATCTCTCAGAAGAGAGCAACACGAGAGCAAAATGACACAGAGATGCCCCCAGACCTCAAAGTGGCCGACCAGTTTAAAAAAAAAAATTAACATCAGCTGTATCGCTGTATTTAAAATTTTAGAATTCCGGGGCTGAAGCGATAGCACAGCAGGTAGGGCGTTTGCCTTGCACGCAGCCAACATGGCCGACACAGGTTCGATTCCCAGCACCCCATATGGTCCCCTGAGCACCGCCAGGAGCAATTCCTGAGTGCATGAGCCAGGAGGAACCCCTGAGCATCGCTGGGTGTGACCCAAAAAGAAAAAAAAATTTTAGAATTCCTGGAGTGCATGGCTGCATCCGTGGCTGTGCAACATCTCATGCTCTACACCACTAATGTATCAAGACAGTATGGTACATGGCTCTGGGGTGAAACACAACAATCTTCACACACTTTCCTCTAAGGAAACTCTTTTTGGATCATTTTTAGTGGATTATTCATAATAATACAAAATAAATTATTTAGGTCTTGCTTTGGGAGCAGGCTTTGGGAGTCGGGATGGAAATATTTGAAATAAGGTTGTGGGAAGTTGCAATGGTGGTGGAATTGATGTTGGAAACTTAAATGGAATAAATTATTGTGAATAACTTTGTCCTGTCCTCCCGTTGTTCGTCAGTTTGCTCGAGCGGGCCCAGTAACGTCTCCATCGTGAGACTTGTTGTTACTGTGTTTGGCATATTGACGACGTCATGGGTAGCTTGCCAGGTTTTGCCGTGCGGGAGCGATACTCTCAGTAGCTTGCCGGGCTCTCCGAGAGAGGCAGAGGAATCGAACCCAGCTCGGCCGGGCCGGCTGCGAGCAAGGCAAACACCCTACCGTTGTGCTATTGCTCCAGCCAACTTTATAAAAATAAAATAAAATTTAAAATTTTTAAATAAAAATTAATAAAGTGGGTGCCTGTGTAAGAGACTGGCTGGGCCAGCAGCATGTAGGTGCAGGGGACACCCAGCTGGTTCCCCCAAGCTTCTTTCACCTGCTAGGAGCAGGTCAGGCTGGGCCTCTGCTGGGCTCCCATAGCACCTGGGATTCAGTCTTCCACCTGCCTCTGGAACTTTTACTTTTACTTTGATTTGGGGACCACACCCGGTGATGTCCAGGGCTTGACTCCTGACTCTGTGCTCAAGGTCACTCCTGGTTTGAGCCAGAGGGACATATGGGATGCGGGGAATTGAGTCCAGGTTGGCCACCGGCAAAGGATACCGCTGTGCTCTCTTTCTCCAGCCTCCTACACAGACAGTGAGCTGCGACTCCTAGGTCCGCCTCCACGGAGGTGCCTGGGCGCCTGCACTGAATGGCCCCTTTGTCACAATGAGGCATAGCCCTGCCGCCACAGTTCCTTTCATTCCCCAGCGCCCACTGTCCATCACTCATGCGCTCCACCTTGCTGGCACATCTCAGTGAGCAGCAGCTGCACCCCGCACACCTCAGCACAGCCGGCTGGCCCTGGAGGCATCCATCCCAGCTGGGCAGACCAGCACACCCCTCCCTCTCTCCACCCCTCACCGCAGGAAAAGCTGCTTCCTGAGTGGTTCTGGGGGACAGATGAGCAAATGCACCTACTGATGGGTATCCTGGGTACCTCTGCTCCCCATCACGCAGAATCTGAGAGGGCGGCTCCTTGCAGGGGAGGCCCACGCTAGCCTGGTGAGAGGTAGGCCGGGTCTGACGCAGAAAGCCCACTTTGTTCCCATTCACGTCTCACAATGTTGGTATCGCTGAAACTGGGGTGCCTCGTCCTAATGAGGCACAATGACAGGCAATCACTTAGTTGGCTGTAATACATTCTATCGAGGTACTCAGGGGCTCAGCCTGGTTCTGTGCTCACAGTCAGTTCCTGGATCAAACTGAGGCTGTCTGCAGGCAAGGGAAGTGCCTTAGCCCCTGTACGACCGCATCTCTCACCACTGGCGTCTTGTGTGTGTGTTTGTTTTGTGTGTATATGTGTGTATGGGAGGGGAGGTATCTACATGATGCTGCCACACTGGGAGTTGCAGATGGTAAGAGTAACCAGGATCACATCTGGCACATCCAGGAACTAGAAATTTGGACTCACAGCCCCCTCCCCCTGCACAAAACACCCTGCATGTTTCTCGGAGCCAAACAAGACGTTTATTTTGGTATGGTGCTGGGGATCAAACCCTGAGACTCACAGTGGCATCCTAGATTCGAAGAAACCTGGGGGTTTTGTTTTTGTTTTTTTTTTTTGGGGGCCACACAAAGCTCTGTGCTCAAGGGGCCATGCACAGTGCTGGGGATCCAACTAGGGTGAGCCTCACGTAAGACAAGAGCCTTATTCCCAGTGCACTCTCTCCAGTCAAGAGCTTTTTTGGGGAGGGGGTAAGAGGGGGCCCCATACTGGACAGTGCTCAGTACTTACTCCAGGCTTTGCACTCGGATCATTCCTGGTGGGTTTGGGGAACCCTACGGGGTGCCAGTGATTGAACCTGGGTTGGCCACATACAAGGCAAGCACTTACCCACTGAACTATCTCTCTGGTCCCAAGAGTTGTATCTTGTATTCCATCCTTCTCAGGAGCTTAGGCCTCAATGGTTCTGAGTACCAAAGGGAAGCTAAGCCCTTCCCATGGCCAGCACTAAGCAGATCAATAAGACCTTCTCCAGACCCCACGTGACCTGCCCAGCTGGGGCAAAGACACATTAACAAGCCAATGGAACAAGGCAAGGGCTAAAGGGTATGTGTGTATGCGTGTCCCGTATGTGCACACAGTGAGTGCACACGCATGAGCACTCAGATGCTTGGGCACTTGGTCTGGGGCCCCACTCCACCCTTACTCCCACCCTCTCCCTTCCTTCCTTTGCAGTGCCCTTCAAAATCTCCCAGCAAGAGGCCAGAGAGGTAGAGTGTTTGTCTTGTACTCTTCTGACCCTATTGGGTTTTTTGTCTGTTTGGGGCCACACCTCACTGTGCTCAGAGCTGACTCCTAACTCTGCGTTCAGGGACCACTCCTGGCCAGCTGGGGAGACCATATGGGGTGCCGCAGACCTTGCTGGGGATAGAACCCAGGTTGGCTACCTGCAAGCGCTTATCCCCATATACTATTGCTGCGCCCCTCAGCTCACCTGGGTCTGATCCCCAGCATCCCATATGGTCCCTCAAGCCCTACCAGGAATGATCCCTGAGCATAGAGCCACGAGTAAGCTCGGAGCACTGCCAGGTGTGGGCCCTCCGCCCCAATTCTCCCTGCTCTGCCTCTCCGTGGGCTCACTCGAGTGGGCCACTGTGGACCAGCACAACGTGGCAGGGGTCTCTGCAAGGGGGAAATGTGGGGCCTGGAGGAAGAGTGCAGAGCTTAGAGCGGTGCTTTGAGGGCGTTTAGTCCAGCTCCAGCAGACTCGGGGGTGGGGTGGAGAGGGGGAGTGAGGGGTGGAGCGAGATCTTGGCAGCCAAGAGGTGCCGTAGCCACGTACACATCCGCCCTGACCACAGGGCCGACCCCCAGCAAGTGCGATCCGGGAAAGGAGATGTGGAGCGCCGGGGCCAGGAAGATGATCTCTCGGGAGCACTCATGGGAGCCTGGGAGCACCGCAGCCACCACCCGTGCAGGAGCTCCGCGCCACGTGGCCCCAGCGAACCATCGCCAGCCCCCGCCCCCCCCCACCTCCCCCGCACCACGGCACCAAGGGAGGGGGCGGGGGAGGGCACTGAGAAATTTAAAACTTAAAAAAATCTCGACGTGTACCAAGACGCGCAAGAGGCAAGCCCAGGCGGGCAGAGCGGCCTGGGCAGGCGGGCCTGGGCGAAGCCTGGCCCACACCCTGGACTCGGATCCCGGCCTTGAGTACCTCGGGCAGTGGCCGGCAAGAAGTTCCTGACGTCCAGCCCCACCCGCTGGCCCGGGCCCCTCCCCGCTGCAGCTCGCCCAAGGCACGCCCCAGCCTCCCTCCCTGGCGGGCTCCTCACCCGGGATGCCCTCTGCTCTGACTCTGCAGGAGAGACCCCCTTCCCGGCCTCTCCTGGCCGCTTCCCGGCGTCTGCTGCTCCAAATGTCTCTCCCCAGAGTCCCTCGAGCTGGTCAGGTGACCTCCCCAACCCACCTGGGAGGCACCAGTCTGGATACCCGCTGCTTCCCGCCTGCTTCCCTCCTCCAGGATCTCAGAAATGTGCCTGGGTGGAGGTCATCATGCCCTGCGCATTCCACGCTGCCCCCACCCCCCGACTCTCTCTTGGGGATGGCACTGCCACTGGTATTGCCTCCTCTCGGAGGCCCACCTTGGTTTACAGCCCCAGAAACTATCATCACTGCACCCCAATCCACCTAATGCTCACCCCTGGGTGACCCTGTCTGAGGAGTCCTCTTTCCTGTTCCCCTGGGGTCATCTCATGGTGCCTCCCAGACCATGCCCAGTCAGATGGCGCTTTGGGGGAGTCTTCCTGGGGAGGAAGCAGATACCACCCCACCCTCCACCTCCAGCAACAGAGAACAGAAGATCCCGAGTCTCAACAAGCCTTTATTTCTGTCCACATCCAGAGCCCAGGAACCAGTGACGCCCTGGAGAGTCGCATATAAAAAATACTCTGCAGGGGTGCACCAGCACCTGTGCAGGGCTGAGGCCTGGACCCCGCTCCTCGGGCGAGCGGGGGTCTACCCTGGACACCGAAGTGCTGCCCACACAGTGGGGCCTGTGGCGGCAGCTGTGGTGGGGGGCACAAAGGGGGCTGGTCCCTGCAGATAACAGGCAGAGCCCCCCAACCAAGACAGAACACGGGTCCCACACTGGGTCCTTGGGCATCCCAAGAAGGAGTGGGGGCCTGGGAGCCCCTGCAGGCCAGCAGGGGTGGGAGAACTCGTGTTCTCCCCAAGGCCCATTTCGCTCAGACTGGGAGAGGGGGCCCGGGTACCCGAGGAGAGCAGGGTGGCCGCTTGCAGGCCAAGGCACTGCTGTGAGGCACTGTCCCCCACTGCGGGGGGCCCCCAAAGGTGAGCTGCCTCTCCCAGCCCCCCGGCGCCCTGGCAGCTGACGCGTGAGTCTCAGCAAGAGGCCTTGCTAGACACCCACCGTCACACAATCAGACAAGGGCATCTGCCTTCCAGCCACAGTCCCCAAGGTCCCCGGCCCCTGGGCGTGTGGAAAGGGCCCTTGGAGTCTCTCCTGGGCACCCCCTCGCTCCCACCCCCTGGGTCTCCAAGGGCTGGTGCGACTAGTCATTCTTCCAAGCCTCCTTCCCAGCTGACCCACACACAGCTCCCCCAGGGGCCCATGTCAGGGGCACACAGGCAGCCCCAGCCCACAGAGCTGCTGTCCCACCAGAACTCTGGCCTGATGTGGCCACCGCCGCCAGGAAGCCCTTCTGGATAAGGAACTCTGCAGTCAACTCTGAGCACAGGCTTCTACCAGAGCTCCGGAAGAGGTGGATGCTCCCAGACAAAGGGAGGAGGCACTCCACGGAGAGCGTGAAGATCTGATGCGGCCACCTTTAGAGCAAACCCTAGCAACCTTGGAAGGTGGGCATCCCAGAAAAGATACCCCAGACCCCCCTCCTCCCCTGCACTGGGGAGTGGACGCTAGACAGTGTCCCGCCTCTGACCCTGGCCCTGATTCCTAGTATCTTGGCTCTCCCTATCTGTACAGGTGAGGAGACCCACCTCTGCACTCCCCATCTCCACACCCAAGGCTACCAGCAGTGCCCGAGTCCTGAGAGAGAGAGAGAGAGAGAGAGAGAGAGAGAGAGAGAGAGAGAGAGAGAGAGAACTTCTCTTCTGCTCTTCCCAGGGGCCAGAATTCATAAAAGGAACACAAAGGGGGGCCCATGGGGCACAGGGGTGCACCTCGAGGACCAACACAGGACCTCACCCCACGCCTTTGCAACCTGCACCCCGGGACCTGAGTCCAAGCCCAGCCCAGCCCAAGCAAGCACCAGGCGCTGCCGACCCTCACCCTGACCTGAGCAGGGTGGGCACAGGTTGCTGTGGTCACACCTGCGCCCACAAGCCCTGGGCCATGAGGCCCCGTGGGGACAGCAGCTGAGATCCCAGACCAGGCAGTAGAGTGCCCCCACCGACTCTGAGGCCTGCTCTCCCGCTGGGTGCCAGGGATCCTCACCCAGGGGGGCCCCAAAGATTTGTCCCGTGGGGCACGGGGTCCACCAGGATGCTCAGATTGGGCAGATGGAGGCGGAGGCAGTGAAACGGGAAAGGGGACCCAAGCCAGCTCCAGCCAGAGGACCAGAGGCCGCCCCCACAGGGTGGGCAGGCGGGCGGGCGGAGCACCACTGAGGGATGCTGGGTGGCTGGGCCCGGAGCGGGGCGCTGTCACACCTGCACCCCCTGGCCCTGCAGCTGGAGCACTCGCGTCTGCAGGGCGCTGATCCCGCTGAGAAGCGCCTCCCGGTGTTCTGCCGACGAGATGCCCAGGCTAAGCAGGTCCCTGAGGAGAAGGGCTGGTCAGGTCTGAGGGGTCGCCCATGCTGCCTGGGCAGGGGAGGGCCCCCAGGGCGGGACCCCACTCACTGGGCAGTCATGGCGGCCACGGCCTCCAGGCTCCCGTGGCCAGCAGCTGCGAAGCTGTCCTTGTAGCGGCCCAAGTCCAGGGCCTCCAACCACGCGCCCACAGAGCCAAAGGAGGGGAAGGCAGAGAAGGCACGGTCGGCCAGCGGGGTGGGGGGCCTGCAGGCAGAGAGCTGGGGTCCGTGGACAGCAGGGCCCCCACCCAGGCCCGACCCCTCTGAGGAGAGGCAGGAGGGAGGGGGGCCTCCGAGCAGGGCAGGGCTTCCTCACAGAGAGGAGTGTGGGGTGCAGTGGAGCCAGGAGGAGGGACTGTGAGGGGCCAGAGCAAGGGCACAGAGGGTGGGGCGTTCGATCCCCAGCATCCCTTATGGTCCCCGAAACCCGCCAGGAGTGATCCCTGAATGCAGAGCCAGGAGTAAGCTCTGAGAACAGCTGGGTTTGCCCCCCCCTTCAAAAACGAAAGGGACTGAGAGTATGGGGGGCTGTCCGGAAGGTGATTCAGAGTACCACAGAGATTGACAGCACCAAGTCTGTGCCTCTGTGCCTTGGGGCCACCTTGGGTAGGACTGTGTCACCCACTCAGTTCATAGCCATGTGTGGGGACACCTGAGCCCATTCAGGCTCCCAGGAGTGACAATCTTGAGCAGGGGGTGCCTGAGGCAGGCAGGACTTTAGCTCCCTCTGGGAGAGCCATCGCTCCCGGCCAGGGCAAGAAAGGGTGAAGGGGCATTTGATTGAGACAAACGGGGTGGTCTTTCATGGGGAGAGACGGGCATGCACCTGGGAGAGGTGAGGTAGCAGGAGTACCTGGGACAGGAGGTCGCGGCCCCTTTGGGGGGTTCTGGGTCCTGCACCATCTTGCTCAGGATGCTGTGGATCTGGGAGAACCTGGGCCGCTCACCTGGATCCTTCTGCCAGCAGTCAAGCATCAGGCGGTGCAGGGGGGCGGGGCAGTTCCTGGGGGGTGGCAGCCGGAAGCCATCCTCCACAGCCTTGATCACCTGGGCCATGGGGGGCCAACAGGAGGCTTTAGCCCCCCCCCTCAAATCACACATATACATAAAACATACACGTACAGGTAAACAGTGAGCAAGGCCTGGGAAAGGCACTGCACGAAGGGCAGAGTGCAGGGCTCAGAAGGCAGGTCGCTGGGGACACTGGGTACTCACGTCTTGGCCAGACATGTCCCAGTAGGGTCGCTCCCCAGAGGCCATCACCTCCCACATGACCACGCCGAAGCTCCACACGTCACTGGCTGAGCTGAAGTGGCCGAACTGCAGCGTCTCGGGGGCAGCCCACAGCGCCGGGCTCCGGCCACTCTGAGGGCAGCCGAGGGCAGGTCACACCCAGCACCCGACCCGGCCCCAGCCGCCCCCTCCCGGGGATGCACCTGGGCAAGGCCCACACACTGACCAGGCCAGGCCACACTGGCATTTACTCAGGACAGAGGGAAGGGGAGGCCACATGGTGAGCAGTCACCCCTGGGAAACAGAACCTCACCATGGTGGTGTAGACAGCCTCTGCCCGGTCGCGGGGACCCCGCCCGAAGCCTGAGATCTTGCAGACGAGGCCGCCACCCAGTAGAATGCGCCGGGCTGCCAGGCCCCGATGCACATAGCCCATCTCTGACAGGTACTTCATAGCGGATGCCAGTCCAGGCAGTAGGCCCAGCAGCTGCGTGGCCACCAACTGGCCCTCGTGGCGCTGGACAAAGAGGACAGAGGCCAGGGTTGCACATACAGACCCTGATGCTATGACTGAGGGAAGGAGGATGTGAGCGGGGGTTTGGGGGCAGAGTCCTTCTGGGCTTCTAGGCTTCTGTATATACCAGGACCCAAAGGGATGAGCTGGCCAGTGGGCCCCTTTGAGGAGAGGGATGCCAATTCCAAGCCCCACCAAAGACGAAAGCAAGGAACCAAGAGTCACACAGGCATGAGCCCTCTGGGGCCCCGCCGCCGCTCACCCTGAGGAAACCATCCAGGGCTCCATGGCTCATGTACTCAGTGACGATCATCAAGGTGCTCCCTGTGCCCGGGGACAGAAAACACAGTTCAGATGTCTGTCCCCACAGGCTCCCTGCACCTGGACCCCAGCCGGGGCCACACTGGAGCCAAGGCCCAGACTCTACGTCCTGCCACCGCCCACCCAACCCCGATCCTCTGGCTGCAGAACCAAGGACAGGTGGATCCAGGCCTGACTCCAGGACCCTAGCTATGACAGATCAGCCAAGGTCAAAGCAAGTTCCGCCTAGAGTTCTCCTCCAGGTCATTCAGAGTAGAAAGCTCAGCTGGGGACAGGGAGCGATGGTGCATAGCAGCACACACACACACACACACACACACACACACACACACACACACACCACATCTGCACAGTCCTGTGGGGTACCTCGGGTGACGACCCCTTCCAGTCGCACCACATGGCTGTGGTCAAACTGGCCCAGTGTCAGGGCCTCGGCCAGGAAGCTGAGCCTCTGTGCGTCGGAACTGCCGTCCCTCAGTGTATGCACGGCCACGGGAAGTTCCTGGCGGCCAGGCAGCTGCAGGCAGCCACTGCACAGCTCCCCAAACCGCCCTGTGGGGACACAGCAGCTCAGAAACACACACATACACACACAGTACCACCTCCCCGGCTGAGGAGAGAGCAGCTTCCAGATTTCAGGCCTCCTCCACAGCACTCGGGGACCAAATCCTAGCCAAGTGAGGGCCAGCTGCATGGCATGGGCTGCACCCCCCTTTCCCTGGCTTGGCCTCAGTTCTCTTCTCTGTGGAAGGAGGAGCCCTTCCTGCTGGCCGCTGCAGGAGGCTCAAAGGCAAGATGCAACACACAGCTGGGAAGCGGAGGTGACAGGGAGCAAGGGCAGACAGTCCTTCTTCATTCAGGGGACAGCATCCAGCTTCTGAGAAAGGGCCCAGCAGAGGCGGCAGGAAGAACTGTACTTGCACAAATCCACCAGGGTCAGACCTTGAACCCAGCTGCGGTGAGACCATGCCCGTCTTACAATGACATACTGAGGGGGATGCGCACCTGGTCTGGCCCAGACTAGAACTCAGATATATCTATCTGGCCCCTGAGCTTGCAAGGACCCCTCCTCACCGGCCACGGAGGCCTGGAGGCTCCTGCTGGGGTCGGTGTGCAGAGAGCAGCCCTGAAAGAGCCTGCAGGAAGACTTCTCAGCGCGTGGGCAAAGGGAGAACGGGACAGGGGAGAGGATCCGGGAGGTTGGAGGGACCCCTGGAATATCTTCCCAGGATCTGGTGGGCGGGGCAGGTTCGGTGTGGAGGCGGGGCTTCCCGGCAAGGCGGGGACCGGAATGGGCGTGGCTCCCGGGAGAGGGCGGGGCTTTTCGGTGGGCGGGGCCTTGGAACGCCCGCCTTGCCTGCTCCCAGGCTTTTCTCCAGAGTGACGCTCTTCGCATCCAGCTCCTTGGCAAAGAGATGAACCGCCTGCAGCGGGTCCCCACAGCTCAGAGGGTCCAGGAACGTGCGGCGTGTGGGGACTTTGACTGGCAAAGCAGAGAAAGAGAGAGATGGGCTGAAGAAAGGGCTTCCGCGGCTGGAGTGACGTGGGATAAGCAAGAGGGCGGAGGCCAAGATGGGATGGTGCCGGCCTCCCCGCCTGCACCAGGCGTAGACCACTCACAGTGGAAATACAGCTCCTCCTCATCATGGGCATCCCGGCCTCCTTTGCCGTAGCTGCAGGGCCTGGGGAGGAACAGTTGTTTTCTGAGCCAAGCTGCCCAGCCCTGCCCTTAAGGCACACCCAACCTGCCAGTTTCTAGGAGGGAAAAAAACGTGATCTTGCACCAGGGGAGGGACCTTCTAGCTCTGCAGAGTTAAAAGCTCCTTCCACGGAACACAACCTCAACCCATTAGCACTCCCAGTTATTTTCACCTGGGGACACAATGAACATACTTGCTCCAAACCCACACCTCCGACACCGCACCCAAAGGTCAGGCAACCTCCGGTCTAACGTGGAAGAAATATGGGAGTGAAGTACGGTTCCACTCACAGACCCAGGCAAAGAAGGGCAATGCAGGCAGGACCGTAAGGATGGGCAGAGAGGGTCCAGGGCAAATAAGAGCAGCTTCCTGCCCATCCACCAGAGTTCTGGCCTCTGGCACACAAAGGGTGCGCTCCAGCCTTCCGAGGCATCTGCCCAGTCTCTCAGTTGGTTCAATCCCAGCACCTCTGGTCCTCGAAGCACCAATAGGTGTAATGCCTCCATTCCCTCCAAGAAGAAAAAAATCTGGGGAATGAGGGCATCAAGTAATAGTACAGTAGGTAGACTGTTTGCCTTGCAGGTAGATTGTTTGCCTTGCATCCAACCGACCTGGGTTTGATCCCCAGTATCTCATATATATGCTCCCCCGCCCCCGAGCATCACCAGGAGTAATTCCTGAGTATAGAGCCAGGAGTAAGCTCTGAGTATTGCTAGGTGTGGCTCAAAAAAAAAAAACTGATAGATGCGGGCTGCAGAGATAGTGCAGCAGGTAAGATGCTTGCTTTGCACGTGACTGACCCAGGCTCAATACACAGCAGCATCCCATATGGTCCACTGAGCACAACCAGGAGTGAACTCTGAGTAGAGAGTCAGGAGTAAGCCCTAAGAATCACTGGGTTGGCCCAAAAAGGAAGTAGGAGGTGGAAGAGAAGGAAGAGGAGGAGGAGGAGGAGGAGGAGGAGGAGGAGGAGGAGGAGGAGGAGGAAGAGGAGGGCCAAGACAGAAAGACAAGAAGGAAGGAAGGAAGGAAGGAAGGAAGGAGGAAGGAGGGAGGGAGGGAGGGAGGGAGAGAGGGAGGGAGGAAGGAAGGAAGGAAGGAAGGAAGGAAGGAAGGAGGAAGAAGGAAGAAAGGAAGACCAAGAAGTGGGGCTGCCATCCAGTGGCCAGTAAAGCCCCGAAGCACAGCCTAGTGAATGAGGGAACCCCTGGAGAGTAGGGAGGGCTGTGGCGGCAAGAGGCTGTGGTTATGGGGAATTGAGCAGCCTGTACAGAACCACCTCCAGTGAGAAGAGGGATGCTGCAGGATGAGCTGGTGGAGAAGTAGCGGTGAGACCTGGAGAGGAGCTAAAATGCTCCAGGCGGCCACCCCGCACCCCTCTGTACTCATGTGCTCCCTTCCCTATCCCAGTGCGGCAGACGCAAGGCAGGTCCCATGTCTCCAGAGGCACCCAAGTCTCCAGATCCCCGGCGTGGTGGTTCCTTTACTGTACCCGCTGCACAGCTCCCTGCTCCCGTCTCCCTGCTTCTCCCCTCAATGGGAGCATGTTCTGGGGAGATGGGAGATAGGGTGAGGGGATAGAGTTGGGGATGTTTGGGGACCACTCCTGGCAGTGCTCAGACTCTGTGCTGCTGCTTCTCGAACCCGGGACTCCCCCTATGCCAGACGTGTGCTCCAGCCCTTGAACCATGGTTCTCTTCCCGCCTTCCTGCCTCACCCCAGTCATTTTAAGCAAACAGCCAATGCAAAATGAATGCTCACTGTCCGGCCTCTGGCAGTTTCTGGAGGCTGCGAGGCGGCAGGTGGCTCCAGGCCAGCCCGTTTCCCTCCTCCGCTTCCCCCACCAGCTCTGCAGGCAGACTCCGGGCTCAGGACTGCTGATCTCAGCCCCAGCCTGGTGCCCACCCGCCAGGGGAGCGACTGCGGGTCTCCAGGGCAGCCTGGGGGCAGGAGGGGGCGGTTTGAAAGGGAGATAGATGCTGAGAGGCTTCCGCTGGGGCCACACAGAACAGCAATGCCCTCTGAGCCAGAATCTGGTCCACATCTCCCTTCTTCTCCCCCTCCCCTCTCTGCCGACTCTTTTGTGCTCTGGTGGGTGGGGGCTTTCCAGCCTAAGGGTCCCCTCCCTCACACGACAGCCGCTCTCTGCCTTTCGAGAGGGAGCCGCGCATGTGTTCAGATGCTTCCGGATCCCTTGGGGCCGGGGACCAGAGGGCGGCTGAGCGCCTCCTGAGAATGCTAATCACACGGGAGCGGATGAGCAGCCTCGAAGCCCTAGTGATGCCGTCTGACATTTAATGAGTGAAGGAGCTCAATCCCTTCATCCCATAGCCGCTGAGCCAGCTGCAGAGCTGCTGCGGCAGCGGCGCGGCGGGGGAGGGGCACTCGGCGCCGGCCGGCCCGGGCTCGGAATCTCCGGCCAGCGTGCTGGCACGTGGTCAATTGCCTGTGCAAATTAGGCCAGGTGTGGGGACCAGGGAGCCCGGGTCAGTGTGCCAGGGGACACGTGCTACTGGGGACCAGCCAGCTGGGGACCGCACACTTACCTCCTCCAGATGGCCAGCACACTCATCACCGAGCCCAGGACAAGAAGGGCAGAGATGGTGACCACGGTGACCACGACTGCGGGACTCTGGTCCCTGGAGGCGGAGGCAGCTGCGAGGAAAATCCCAGAGGCTGAAGCCGGCAGAGGAGCAAGCTCAGAGACCCGCGCTGCACCATGGCAGGATAGGCACCCACCCGGCAGGGACCAGCAAAGGCCACCAGCTCTTGGAGCTTCCCCTCTTCCAGGGCAGCCCACGTCTACTGCAGCCCAGGGGGCGTGGGGGGGTGGGGGGAGGGAGAGAGAGAGAGGGAGGGGGAGGGGGGAGAGAGAGAAGACAGAGGAGAGGGAGAGAGACAGAGGAGAAAGAGAGAGGAGAGAGAGAAAGAGATGGAGAGAGACAGAGAGAGGAGAGAGAAAGAGATGGAGAGAGACAGAGAGAGGAGAGAGAGAGAGAGAGAGGAGAGAGAGAGGGAGAGAGAGAGCACAGACCAGCACACAAACCTCTCACTTTGCCTCTCTGATAAATGATGACAGAGTTACAGCAGTTCTAGAAGGGAAACGGCCTCCAGCCCCAGACCCTCAGGCCCAGTCTCCAGTGAGAACTAACATGTCATGAACACGCCATTCCTGAAGGAACCACACCATGGCCTCACCTAAGTCAGCCTGTTACCCTCATCCAGGAAGGGGTTAGAGTCTCCAATATACAGCAGAGGAAAATGATATCAAGGAGAGCTATTTACAGTGATAAAAATTAATGGGAGGGGCTGGAGAGATAGTACATCAGGTAAAGCCTTACACAGGACTAACTTGAATTTGATCCTCAGCACCCTAAATGGTCCCCTGAATCCCAGGGGTAATCCCTGAGCACAGAGCCAGGAATAAGCCCTGAACACAGCCAGATAAGGCTCAAAAATAAAAAATAAATAAAAATTAAAAATAAAATTTGCTCGAGCGGGCCCAGTAACATCTCCATTGGAGATTTTGTTGTTACTGTGTTTGGCATATCGAATACATCACGGGTAGCTTGCCAAGCTCTGCCGTGCGGGCGAGATACTCTCGGTAGCTTGCTGGGCTCTCCGAGAGGGGCGGAGGAATCGAACTCCGGTCGGCCATGTTGGCTGCGTGCAAGGCAAACGCCCTACTGCTGTGCTATCGCTCCAGCCCAAAATGAGTGGGAAACCCAGATTCCAAAAGTCTCTGCTTTGAAGTATTTCCCCAAGGGAGGGATCTAGAGGATCTTAGGCTTTCTACCCCCACTACCCATGCATCCATGCATCCAAGCATTCATGCATGCAGGCACCCACCCATCTATTCATCCATTCATGCATCCATCCATTCATCTATCCTCCTACCCATCCATTTATTCATCCACCCCATCCACCCACCCATCTATCCATCCTCCCACCCACTCATCCATCCACCCACCCACCCACCCATCCACTCATCTTCCATCCATCCTTTCATCCATCCAATGTGCCAGACTGACACTGGTACTGAGAGACAGGGATGAAGGGAGAAGTGAAAACACGAGTGGAGATGACAGAAACAAAGCTCTTAGGTGTCGAATAAAAAGAAACCTAAGTGAGCAGACAGAGCAGAAGTATGTTACGTCCCTAAAGCCAGCGAGCCAGGGCCACAGAAGAGGAACCCTCGGCACTGGACCTGGAGGGTTGAATTTGCTGATGGGGCTCAGATGCACAAGTGGGGTCTGGAAATGGCATGTTGCCCCACGTGGCTGGAAGACACTTACGGAGGTAGAGAGGCAAGGAGCAGGAGCTTGTGAAGGGAAAGGGATGGGGCCAGGGTTAGGGGAGAAAACAGAACCTGGAGGATCCTAAATGTTAAATCAAGAGTATTAATTTTGGGGCCTGAGCAACAGTCCAGTGGGTAGACACTTACCGTGATGCAGCCAACCAGGGTTGGAATCTGGCACCCTCTATGGCTACCTGAACCTTATCAGGTACTGTTTTCTCCCCTAACCCTGGCCCTTCCTCCCCCCAGCTCCGTAACTTGCCTTTCTTCATCCATAAGTATCTCCCAGTCAAAGGACGGCAACATGCCATTTCCATGCTGAATCCCGAGCTCAGAGTCAGGAATAAGTCCTGAGCACCACTGGGTATGGCCACCAAACGAAAACAAAATAAAAGAGCATATCCTGAGAGAACAGGGAGCCAGGGAGTGGTGGGCAGAGCTCTTCTGGGAGAAGAATGTGTGCTGGCAAGGTTGGCACGGCAGTGAGGACGGAAGGGCCAGAGAGCTAGTGCAGTGGGTAAGGTGCTTGTCTTGCATGTGGTCAATGCAGGTTGGATCCCTGGCACCCCACGTGACCCTCTGAGACCCACCAGGAGTGTTACCTGAACACGAGCCAGGAATAAAGGCCATGAGCAGATCCATGTGGATTAAAGAGAGAGAGAGTGGGAGGGAGGTGGGTGAAAAAAGGTAAATTTGGATACTGTTTAGAACGGAAAAAATACTGAGCAACCCTAAAAACTGAATCTGAGATTAGAAAAAAAAATACCTCTGGGGGCTAAAGCACTAGTACAGTGGGTAGGGTGCTTGACTTGCACGTGGCCAACCTGGGTTTGGTCCCTGACACCCCAACTGGTCCCCTGAGCCCCTTCAGGTGTGGCTGGAGGGGTGACCCCAAAACAATAACAAAAACAAAATAAAATATCCCTAACTAATTAAAGATCAGGAAAGAGAGAGCGAGAGAGAAAGGAAGGAAGGAAGGAAGGAAGGAAGGAAGGAAGGAAGGAAGGAAGAGAATGAAAGAGAAATAAAACAAGAAAGGAAGGAAGGGGGGAGAGAGAGAGAGAGAGAGAGAGAGAGAGAGAGAGAGAGGCTGCAGAGGTGTCTTGCATGCAGCTGTTGGGTGTGTCCCTGGAGGTCTCTAAGCATCATCTAGCAAGCTAGCCTGTGAGGCACCATATGTCTTTAGGCCTTCACACCAAACTGCAAACTGTTAGGTAGTCAAGAATAGAAGGAAGGAAGGAAGGAAGGAAGGAAGGAAGGAAGGAAGGAAGGAAGGAAGGAGGGAGGGAGGGAGGGAGGGAGGGAGGGAGGGAGGGAGGGGGGCAGGGAGGGAGGGGGGCAGGGAGGGAAGGAGGGAAAGCACCAGGTGTTTCTGGTACATGACCCCAAGATGGCGCTTCTGAGTTCCCACCTCCTGAAACTCATTCCCATCCGGGATCCCACAGACAGTACCACATAACAGACAGAACACGCCAGGAGGAGGTATGACTTCCAAAATTCAGTTTCAAGAGACTGCACTTTCTGTATCAGCACCCAGTAAGCATCTAGTCGCTGGATTCAGAATTGCCCTAAGAAGAAGCCCTGAAGGCAAGTACTGCAAGCCCTCTGCCCTCGGAGACCCCTGGTGGGAGGCCGAGTCCCCCACTTCCCCCTTGAAAGAATCATCACCCCAAGGACCGCACAACTGCAGCCCCCTGAGAGATCCTAAAGGCACCCACATGTCTGACACCCAGAGATCTGATCCCAACTAATACTTGTTTTAGGCAGCTACATTATGATGAGTGAAGCCTGCTCTCAGATGCAGGGGTGAAGCCTGGCCCTCAGCGGCAGGTCACTGATACAGGAGTGAAGCCCGGCCCTTCCTCACCCCATTTCGGCTGAGGGCTCACTGGGAAAAGTGCCCATCACTTCCCCTCAACCAAACCACCCCCAGGGAGGCAGGGGAGTGGAGCGATTCCACAGAGAAGCCGCCAGTGAAGGCCCCCCTTCCCCGCCCTTGCAATCAGCAGCCCCCACCCCTCACTCTAGTCAAACCCACGAGCCTTTATTCAGACGCATTTCCGTCCAAAAGGCCTTCCTAGCCCATCTTCGGGAAAGTGCTCTAATCTCGCCTCGCCAGCACCAGCCGCTGAGGCCTGGCGCCGACGGGCATTCAAGCAAGAAGCACAGCCCTCGTTCCCAGAATCCACTCCCTCCACATCTCAGCCTCGCCTCCCCTCCGGCTCAGAGCGCTTCCTATCTTGGATTAGACTCGGGGAGCGGGTTGGAAAGAATTATTAACTTGACAGCTGGTGCCAGAATGCCTCTGGGGGGGAGGGGGGCGCAGCCTTTGTCCAGGAAAAGACTTTCCCGAGCTGCTGGGGCAGATAGAGGTGAGAACCCGAGGGCTGGGTTAGCAGCCGGCAAAGCCCCAAACCGGAGAGCTAAAGGCTCTGCAGCAAAATGCAGGGGAGCTTGGGGGGACGAAGAGGAGGAGGGGACGGCATGCCGCGAAGAAGCCAATTCAGGATCCGGAGAGCTCCTGTTCAGGCTTCTGTTTGGTCTGAATAATAGGTTGATCGGGAACTAATTCACGTCCCACACAATCCACGCACGGAGACAGTGCCATTTTCATTTTCTTTGTTGGTGTCCCCCTGTGTGTCCCCAACCTTCAGAAGAGCTGCCTCACTCTCAGGCCCGGTGGGAACCCGCACTAGGCCCACATGTGGGCCCATCTCCGGCCGGAAAGCCCCAGAGCAGGAACCAGAGTTTAGTGGTCAGAACAATACGGCTGTGGGAGACTGGAGCTCTGAGCCGGCCCGAGGGCCTGGGGGTGGAGGCAGGGCTGGGTGAAGCCTCCCTTTGAGTTCCTCCAGGAGAGCTCCCGGCCCAGCTCACATCAGAGAGGAGGCAGCAGCGGGTGGTCCAAACCCACTCCTGGCCCAGCTGTGATGCTCTTTCAGATACTCTTCAGCGCCCGACCCCCCAGCCCCGGCCATCTCCCTTTGTCCAGCCCACACATCACTTACCCTCCCCAGGGGTCTGCACTTCAATGCTGGGGTTGAAGCTCTGAGTCTCCCAGGAGGGCCCCGGGGAAGCCGCCCGGATGTGAAAGACGTAGCGTGTGGCCGGCTTCAGGTTGGTGACGGTGACCGCGGGCGCCCCTGTCTTCACCGTGGAGTAAGTCTGCTCGCTCCGGCCCTGCGGAGGGACCACGGGGTGAGGCCTGAACCCGCACTCCAGAGGGGAGAGTGGGGAGAAGGAATGAGGAGGGGACAGCGTGGGGGTGGGAGAACACGAATTGCTCCCAGGCCCTGACCTCCAGCCCCACGGGAGAGGCAGCCCCACTCTGCACAGGGCCAAACTTTGTTTTGCTTTTTCTTTCTTTGGTTTTTGGACCACACCTAGCAGTGCTCAAGGGTTACTCCCAGGGGCTGGAGCGATAGCACAGCGGGTAGGGCATTTGCCTTGCACGCGGCTGACCCAGGTTCGATTCCCAGTATCCCATGTGGTCCCCCTAGCACTGCCAGGAGTAACTCCTGAGTGCAGAGCCAGGAGTAACCCCTGTGCATCACCAGGTGTGACCCAAAAAAGCAAAAAAAAAAAAAAAAGGGTTACTCCCAGCTCTGCATTCAGGAGTCACTCCTGGTGGGTTCAGGGGACCAGATGGGAGGCTGGGGATTGAACCTGGGTGGGCCCGCATGCATGGCATGAGCCCTACCCACTATACTTTCTCTCTAACCCCCTGGGGAAATTTGAGAGAAGGTGCTAGAACCTTCTTCTGGACCATGCAAAGTGGATGGCGGTCAGGGCCTGGCAGACCCAGGGCTGAGCTGGGCCTGAAGCTGGTGGGAGAGTTGGCCAGTGGGTGAGACCGTGGACACTCTGAGCTTTTCCTTCCCTTTGTCCTCGAATCGCCACCACCAGCCTGCCTGGATGAGACCGGCAGGTCTATTTTCTTTTCCTTGCCTTGTTTTACGGTTAATGAAGAGTTGGAACGAGCGAAGGCACAGAGGCCTGATGAGTGGAAAGGGCAGTGGGCGGCAGAGGGCCTGCTAGTGGCCAACGCCATGCCAGGCCTTTCAGAGGCCCGTCTCCCTCCCAGCCGCAGAGGGTCACTCAAGGAACAGTCAGCAAGACCCTAGTTTCTAAGCTCTGTCGGGTCCCACACCTCTTGTTGGCTGTCATGCTGCCCTTCACAATTGTGTGTGAGGGACGCTCCCATCAGCCCCTCTCCATCAGATCCCAGGTACTGCCCCTGCCACATCCTCAGCCCCTTCCCCAAAGCCTGTGACCCAGGTCTCTGGTCCCGGTACTCAGGGGTCTGAACCTCCCTTCCAGGTGCTTGAAGAACCCATGGAGAGTGGCTGGTTGCTCTGAGATGGTGTGGGGAGAAAGGGTGGAGCGGGGCGGCTGCAGCAGTGAGGGCTGGAGCAGAGTGCAGACAGGTGTCAGCACAACCAGTGCGGTTGCAGCGATACGTCTGGACATTGCATTCCACCCCCTTTGTACTGGCTTCTCTTCTCAAAGGTTTGTGTTCCCAGGATGTTCATTCTCCCTAAGAGCCTGCGAGTAGCCACCTGGCTGGGCTGTGGGACTGCCAACGTGCCGATACCCAAGTGCCCATCCAGTGAGACCCTTCTCAGAAACCTCTGCTTGATGAATCCCAGAATCCTCTGCAGCTCTCTCCTAAATATCTGTGCTCTTCAGAGCTCTGTGCTGGTCATTCACCAATCCCTCCCTCCTGGTCCACTGGCTTCAGCCACCACCTTGGTGCTGAAAGTTCCCACATGCCTCATTCGCCTGCACGTGCCTCTCCCAGACCTGCAAGACCACCTGGATGGACCCACCTCCCAGGTCCCTGGCATGAGTGGCATAAGAGCACAACCAGGCTCACCATCTCACCCCAGACCTGCATTCCCCCGCAGAGATTCTCTGCCTCAACCAGTGGCACCAGGCAACCCACCCAACAGGGAGATGGGAGTGTTTTATTCTTTTTTTTTCTTTTTGGGTCACACCTGGTGATGTTCAGGGGTTACTCCTGGCTCATGCACTCAGAAATTACTCCTGGCAGTGCTCAGGGGACCATATGGGATGCTGGGAATCGAACCCGGGTTGGCCCCGTGCAAGGCAAACGCCCTACCCGCTGTGCTGTCGCTCCAGCTCCCTTGGAGTTGGGAGTGTTTATTTCTCCTTTCAGCCTCCCCGCCCCCTGCCACCCTGCTCCCAACTCCCCTCAGACTTTTGATGCTGAAGCACAAGGACGAGATTCTGTGATTTGTCAAAAAACATCCTGGAGTCCCCGAGGAGAGACTGAAGGGCAGAAGCCAGGGCAAGCTGTCACCTGAGTGGGTGCAGTCCGCACTGGGTGAGAATCCCCTTGACTAGGAAGGCACCTCGCTGACAAGACAACGAACGGAGGAAAGAGATAACGAAGAGCAACAATGCCCTGAGCTGGCTGAACTCAAGCCACGGAGAGACAACAGAGAGGGCAGCAGGAAGCAGCAAAGGGACCCAAGGCATTTCCAATACTGTATTTTGTATTATTACTTGTGAATTATAACTATCATTTGATTGAAGTAAACCTGAGGCAGTCGATGCCTTCCTGTTCTGTTCTGGAGAGCAGGGTGGGCAGCTTCTACCAGTCCCACGGAACCCCAGCATCCCATCACACCTAGTCAATGTGCCCCCGCCTTGCCCCAGCCCATCGGCAGATAGCTTGCTGGGGAAATTGTGACTGTTCTTCTGCGTTCTTCTCTTTAGAAGGGTTCTGCCTGCTGCCTCCCCATTGTACACACACAATTCAGCCATCCAGAACCCAGCTAAGCAGCAGAAGAAATCCCCATGGCAAGCCTCCGCATGGCTGGGCAGTGGGGTTGGAGAAGGCAGAGAGCAGAGATGCGGGGGGCAGAGGAAGAGCAGGGGTGTGCTGGTGTGGAGAGACAGGCATGGAGGGGGAGAGGGAATGAAAGCCCGGAGGGTGCGCGGAGTTAAGAGGCTTTGGGAGTCCAGACTTTAGCGGGAAGGGCATAAAAAGAGGAAGTGGGTGTAAGGGGGCACACAGCCCACAATGCACCCCCAGCTGCTTTCCAGACCCCACTCACCTTCTCATAGTATCGGATCTCGTATTCCGTGCCGTTGGCACCCGCTGACCCCGCAGGGATGGGCTCCCGCCAGGACAGGGACACAGTTTGAGGTTCTACTCGGTCCCTACGGATCTCGCCCTCCTCCCAGGGTGCTGAAAGAAAGGTGCGGTTCTGGGGTCAGTTCCATGGGGGCAGGACCACACCATGCAGCATGCACACGAAGGGAGGGGCTCGGGCATGGCTCCTGAGGGGAAGAGTCTGTGAGCCCCTCTCACTCTAAAGGCCGGGGAGGCTCTCTGGGTGCCTCCTACCCCCGAGATTCTGCCCTCTTGGGGGGGAGGGTTCTCATTCCTCTGCCTTCTCCCATCCTCTCTGTGGTTCGGAGACTTTCGATAGTGAGCCTAAGAGGCAGGAAGATCATGGTCATAACTATTCTAGTCAACACTTAAGAGGGAAAATGCCCACAAAGGAGAACTAAAAACAACCTCAACATCTTAAAGGCCATACGGGGAAAGACCGCAGTTAACATGTCAACAGCAAGAGGCTGACAGCTTTGCCTCAAAGATCAGGAATAAGGCAAGGATGCCTCTCTGGCTGTTTCTATAAAGACGGTACCAATCAAAGCAACCAAGAAAAAGGGAAAATTCATAGAATGAAAATCACCAAACTTCTCTTCCTACAGACGACGTGCTCTTACTTGCAGAAATCTCGGAAGGTCTTTCTCTCTTTATCTCTCTCACTCTTTGTTTTACACACACACCGAACTAACAAATACAGCAAAGTTCAGGTACAAAATTAACAGGCAAAAATGAGTCATGCATTAATTCCAAAACAATCCCAAAAGGAAATTTATTATAATATTAAAAACAACAAAATACTTAGGAATAAATTTAATCAAAAAGAGGCAACGCTTTTTGTGGGGGAAATGGTCACACTCAGCAATACACGGAGGTTACTCCTGGCTCTGTGCTCAGGAATCACTCTTGGTGGTTTAGGGGATAATATGGGATGCCAGGGATCGAACCCAGGTCGGCCACAAACAGAGCAAGCACCCTGCTTGCTTTAATATCACTCTGGCCTCAGAAAAAAAGCCAAAACTTTTACCAAAATCTTTAAAACACCATTGAAAGAAATCCACAAGGACATCTGTGTTTGCAGAATGAAAGATTCAGCATTGTTAAAATGCCCACACCATCGAAAATAATCTACAAATTCAAAGCAACCCCCATAAAAATTTCAATTTTTTTTTTCAGAAACAGAAAGAAAACTCCTAAAATGCACATGGAATCTCACAGCACCATGAGTAGTTAAACTGATCTTGAGAAAAATAAGTAAAGCTGCAATCCTTGTGCTTCCTTACCTCAAAATGTATTACAAAGCTAATGTAATCAAACTAGCACACCACTGGCATGCAGACAGAAATACAGATAAACAGAACAAAATAAAGGGGCCGAGCAATAGCACAGCAGGTAGGGCACTTGCCTTGCACACGGCCAACCTGGATTTGATCCCTGACATCCCATATGGTCCCCCGAGCCCACCAGGTGTGATCCTTGAGTGCAGAGTCATGACTCAGCCCCGAGCATCATTGGGTGCGACCCCAAAGCAAAATTGAATAGAGAGCCCTGAAAAAGAATCCCACGAATAGTCAACTATCTTCAATAAGTGTGCACAGCAAGGAAGAACAGTCTCTGCAGGGCCAGAGAGATGGCTCAGTGGGCTGGCACACCGGCTTTGCAAGCAGTCCCCAGCACAGTGCTGCATGGTCCCCAAGTGTCACTAGTAGCAACCTCTGAGTATCAAACTGGCAGTAGCCCCTTAGCACTGCCAGGTATTGCCAAAAGAATAAAATAAATAAGAATAATCTCTTCAACAACAGGTCCCAGGAAAACTAAATCTCCATATATGTTCACAGAATGAAGCAGAGTCCTATCTTACATCATTTTCAAAAAGTACAAAATTTAATTCAAGGGGCCAAAGAGAGAGTACAGCAGGTAAGGCACTTGCCTTTTCTATGGCTGACCTCAGTTCAATCTCCAGCATCCTACATGGCCCCTGAAGCACCACCAGGAGTGATCCCTGAGCACATAACCAGGTGTAAGCCCTGAACACTGCTGGGTGTAGCTAAAAAAAAAATAGCTCTAAATAGATGACAGATGTAAATTTAAGACCTAACGCTATAACAATCTTAGAAGGATATGCAGGGGGAAAGCTTCATGATAACTGAACTTGGCCATGAGTTTTTGGATCTGACAATAAAAGTCACTGTCACTGTCATTGTCCTCCCGCTGTTCATCAATCTGCTCAAGCAGGCCCAGTAACGTCTCCATTGTGACAATTGTTCCTGTGTTTAGCATATCGAATACATCACGGGTAGTTTGCCAGGTACAACCCACAAAAGCAAAAATAGATAAATAGAACTACATCAAACTAAAAGACTCAGCAGTCAGTCAACAAAGTGAAAAATCTACCTATGAAATAGGAGAAAAGATTTACTAACCACTTATCTTCTAGGAGGTTAAAATATGGAATAAATGATAAACTATAACCCAACCCAACCCAACCAAAGGATCAGGGAGAAGCCTCAGAAACAGGCACTTAAACTTGCACGTATGAGGCTCTGGGCTAAATCCCTGAACTGCAAATAAAGAAAAAAGGCCGGAAAGATAGTAGAGCAGGTAGGGCTCTTGCCTTGCACCTGGCCAATCTGGGTCTGATCTCCAGCACCCTATACATTCGCCTGAGTACTGCCAGGAATGATCCCTGAGCTCAGACCCAGGAGTAAACCCCAGCACTGCTGGGTGTGACTCCAAAACAGCAACAACAAAATTAGTCATTGAGTCACCACTGCCAGATAACGGAGCAATCCCACTTGTAAATTTATATCCAAAGAAAATGGAATCACCCTCTGAGAAAGAAATCTGCACCCCCTTATTCTGTTGCATTATTCGCAATAGCCAGGAGGTGGATGCGATCTATCAGTGCTGGGGTTGGGTGAAAGACTCCAGAAAATGTCTATAGAACATCATGATCCAGCCATGAGAGGAGGAAATCCTACTGAGACAGCATGGACGACGCTTGAGCACTCCATGCAAAGCAAAGTAAGCCAGACAGTGAAAGGCAAATACCGTGTGATCTCATTTAGATGTGGAATCCAAAATAGACTTAACTGAGAAACCGTGAGCAGCCTGACAGTTGCCAGCAGGTAGAGGTGGGGGCAATGAAGAGATGCACACAACAGGTCAATTTTTACTTACTGGGACAGAGGGATAGTGCAGTGGGGAGGGCATTGGTCATTCCTGAGCACAGAGCAAGCAGTTGCCCCTGACATAGCCAAAGGTAGTCCAAACTCGAAAAATGATAAGAAAGTTTCTTCAAGAGAAGGCTTTAAGTGTCCACATCACACACAATGCTACTAATCTTTGTTTCTTTGGGTGGCACACCTAGTGATACTAAGGGGTTATTCAGTGGGCTCAGAGGGTCACTCCCAGTGGTGCTCAGTGCTGAGGGGACCAGGCAATGCCAAGGGATCAAGTCCAGCCTCCTACATGCAGATCCTGCACTCTAGCCCTTTGGGTGATCTTCCTGACCCTAATACCACTCACCTTATTAACATAATACTTTCACAGTATATATTTTTGATAAGCTATCATGTAGACACCTGCAACTTATGCTATTTTATTATTATACGCTGGGGCCAGATAGATAGCACAGTGGGCGGGGTGTCTGCCTTGCATGTGGCCAACCCAGACTCAATCCCCAGCACCCCATATGGTCCCTGAGCCCACCGGGAATGATCCCTGGGCAGAGCCAGGTATAGGCACTGTGAGATGTGGCAAAAAAAATTATATGCTACTTGTTTCAAGAAAACTGAGATGTGGAGTGGACTAAGAAGAGGTGGAACAGACCTGCTACTGAATATTATTGTCTAAGAAAGAAAGAAAGAAAGAAAGAAAGAAAGAAAGAAAGAAAGAAAGAAAGAAAGAAAGAGGGGGCTGGAATAATAGCACAGTGGGTAGGGCGTTTGCCTTGCACACAGCTGGCCTGGGTTCAATTCCCAGCACCCCATATGGTCCCCTGAGCAACTCCAGGAGTAATTCCTGAGTGCAAAGCCAGGAGTAATCTGTGAACATCGCTGGGTGTGATCCACCCCCAAAAAAAAGAAAGAAAGAAAGAAAGAAAGGAAGGAAGGAAGGAAGGAAGGAAGGAAGGAAAAAAGAAGTCGTGACAGAGCCAGAGAGATAGTAGGTAGGGCATTTGCCTTGCACAGCTGACCTGGGTTTAATCCTCAGCATCCCATATGGTTCCCTGAGCACAACCAGGAGTAATTCCTGAGTGCAGAGCCAGGAGTAACCCCTGAGCATCGCTGATTGTGGCCCAAAAAATCAAATTTAAAAATTGTAATTAAAAATGTAAGAAGCTCTAGCATATGTCACAATGTGAATGAGTTTTCAGGACATTATGCTGTTAAAATAAGCCTGCCACAAAGAGAAAAAGCTGATGGGATTCTGGTTCTCTGAAGCTCCAAAGGAAGCCCAGGTTAGCTACAGAAAGAAGACTTGTGGCTGCCAGGAGCTCGGGCAGGTGGGGTGAGGGGAAAAGAAAAGTCCTGCTCAGTGGGTACAAAGTTAGTTTTATGGGAGCTGGAGTGATGGTACAGTAGGTAGGGCATTTGCCTTGCACATGGCTGATCCAAGTTTTGATTCCTGGCACCTCATGAGGTCCCCCAAACCTGCCAGAAGTGATATGAGCACCTGACTAGGAGAAAGTCCTGAGCACCTGTGGCCCTAAAACAAAGAAACTAAAACAAAAAACACAAACAAGTTTTGTCGGTTGGGAATGTGACTCACATGTGTGAGGTCCTGGGTTTGAGTTGGTGCACCAAAAAAATATTAATGAAATCAAGAGGGGGACTGGAGTGATTGTACAACAGGTAAGGTGTTTGCCTTGTACGTGGCTGACCTGGGTTCGATTCCCAGCATCCCATATGGTTCCCTGAGCACCGCCAGGAGTAACTCCTGAGTGCAGAGCTAGGAGTAACCCCTGAGCACCACCGGGTGTAATCCCCCCCCAAAAAGCAATAAATAAAAAATAATAAGATCAAGAGAAAGAACAAAACCCAAAATTGAGTTTTGCCAAATGAGAAAGTTCC